AATTCTAGTGGCGCTAAGTAAAAAAAAAATTAGTACGTAACTCATTTGGAGAATAGGTCTCAATTATTAATTATCACACAAATCGAATACCCTACATATCGCACTGCTGATACGATAGTATATTAACTCAAAAAGTGTATTTTTTAGGAATCGATGTACAACTAATTACTCGATACCTTACGCAAAATAGGCGGCTTGACGTCGAGTTGCGGACACCAGCCCGTTACACCAAGTACTAAGTACTCGGTACCTTTGAAAGATAAAATTTATGTATGGGTTTAAGTTTATCACAATTTCCTACTTGTGAAATATATTTAAATTAAATAAAAGGGAAAAAACTTTTAATATGTTTGAGTAAGGATTCTTTTGGCCAGAACTAGCTTACATAAGGTTTTTTTTTTTTTTTTCATTTTGAGTTAAGTAGATATCTTTCGATTGTTCCTTATAATATTCTAACGACAGTTTTATAGACGTGTTGGGGATCAAATTTTATCTTCAGCAATGATATAATGTTGAATTTCACAAATTTTGCGTTACAACTTTATTGTAATAGTAGTGCGATATATCAATCATCAAACTCAAAAACACCTAATTCATCAATAAAATGCTTAAAAAAGCTGACTCGTATTTGACGCCCAAAGTCAACAGAATCGTACGCTGGCCGAACGTTGTCACATGATCGTTTTAATAAATGGAAAGCTGGGTCTTATTCACGATCAATTTCACCACGTTCTGAATACAGCTGTGTAACACGTGAATATATGTACTATTTTCTTATGAAGAATAAAATTGTAATATGTATTACAATTTACATAAATTTTGTACCTTTTTTTACATGTCCAAATGTCTTTCCAACTTCATAAAGATCACCTTGATCCAAAAGCGATTGAATCATATAACTACCTCATTTTCTACCTGTTGCAGTTAGTTCATTATCTTGTCATATCGAAGGTCGTGTATTTTATCACGTGGAGCCAAGTCCAAGTCCGGTACAATAGACTACGAGTTCTTTCTGTATGTATATATATATAATGATTTCGTGTAATTACTCTTATCAAATACAGACTGTCCATTTTTGTATGAATTGTTTTTTTAATGTATAATAGACACAATATTATCTGATGTTCAGCGGACTTCAGCGACCTAATCCTATGTTAATACGGAACACTCCATCTGCACAAAGCGCTTAGTTTTTTATATGGCCTAGAAGGGCATTCATTATCCTGCATTGCAGTCCGCCTTATACGCCGCGTAATGCAGGATTATGAATATAGTCGCAGCGTGCAAACCATCCTGCAATCCTGAAATGCGTCCTGGGAGACTCCATCCGTAGGCCATACGCAGGATATTGTGTGAACAGTTTCCTGCCTGTGGACTGCCATGCAGGTAGTGAATAGGCCGTTTTATGTGTACGGCAAAGGAGTAGAATATACTACTGTCATCTGTAATTTCCCCAGCCTATAATTTGAGGTTTAAGAGTGAATAGGCAGTTTCCTGCCTGTGGACGGACTGCCATCCAGGTAGTGAATGGGCCGTTTTATGCATACGGCAAAGGAGTAGAATATACTGCTGTCATTTGAAATTTTCGCAGCCTACAATTTGAGGTTATATAAGGCTAAGAGTGAGTAGGCATTCTGTGTCAACGTATATTTTTTAAAGTATACAACAATTTTTAATTGCTTGCACACCGCTACCAATGCGTAGCCAGTTATCCTGTCGTTACCTGGGTACGATGCGTTGTACTCCCATCGTAATACATAGGAATAATTTTGTTTTATTATTATTTTAAACCGAACACTAGCTTAAGTACTTTACTAACAAATGTTATGGATGAATGTATATATCTGAAATAAATGGTTTATTATTATTGATAATTACCTGATCTTTTAAGGTACTCTAACGTATTATGGGGTAAAAAGCAAGGCAACTTTGCAATCTTAAAAATTTACACGAGAGAGTTTTAAATAGTAATTAAATCTAAGCTATTGAATCACACGGTCATATAATTACAATTGTAAATAGCATATCAACCAATCACTTTCAAAAGTCATATCCGTTAACTTGATTAAAACTTGTATTATAATACAATTGATTATTTGATAGCAAGTGACTTATCATTGTTGTGTTATATACAATGCAATGGGTTTTATAAACATAGAAACAGTTTTATCACTTGACATAGTGTTTTATACCCAACGACATAAAAGCTATTGCGTAATTTACTTTTTTATGATGCTTATAGTGCAATGTTAAATTAATCATTAATGTTCACTTACTGAATGAATGGGAACTTAGTAGCAGTAGAGTCCCTTGTGCACAGAGTTCGTCGTAATTCTGCCGCCAAACAAAAATGTGATTATTACTGCGTTACTGTTTTGAAGGCCAAGGGTGCTGGTGAAATTACAAGCATATGATACTTGTCAACTTGACGCAACCAAAATCCGTGGTAATAACCCGTTTAGCTCTTGCAGGTATTCTCGATCTAAGATGTATTCAAATGTATATTTACAAAGAGCAACCCCTAGAGTTTCTTGCTCATTCTTCTCAGGGGAATCTGCCTTACGAATGAGCAGTAGAATTTAATCAGTATGACGATTTCAAGTGTAATTTGCTTACATATGAAATAAAGATTATTTGACTTGTCTATTTATCTATCTATCTATCTATCTATCTTAGTTTTCGCATCATGAAGGATACCCTTGGAGCAAACCAAGACTTCAACGATATAGTTGAGAGAGAATGGCATGACTGGACTACTGTTTTTACCGACGCTTCAAAATACACGAACATGGCGACTTGGGAGCCGCGGTTTGGTTCCCCAAGTTCAATGTCGTACTCAGTTTTAAATCCCCCTATCTGAATTCGGTCTTTTCGGGAGAGGCTATTGCAATACTCGAAGCCATTTTATATATTGAGTCCCATAAAATTAATAAATGTTTTCTCAGACTCACTAAGTTGCCTCCAAGACATTATTAAGCTACCGTTTCATTCCAAAGACAATTTCTCTATCACCCTCCAAATTAAGGAAGCTCTGTACCGATGTCATTGTGCGGGAATTGAGGTAACTCTGGCCTGGATTCCCGGTCACAGTGGGATTAGTGGCAACGAAGCAGTAGACGCCTTTGCAAAGAATGCGACAAGAATTGGCGTATGCAAATACTGTAAATGCTTTCCCAGAGATCTGCTCGCCATGACCAAACCCCAAATGCTAGCCTCCTGGTCGGTCCTTTGGCAGGAATCACGACAAACTGTTGGTAGACACTATGGTAACCTCCAACCAAATCTACCCACTAAACCCTGGTTTTTTAAACGTCGCGATTTGCCTAAAAACATCACTTCCACTATTATTCGTTTGCGCTTAGGCCATGTTTGCACCCCTGTATTTTTGCGTAAAATCAGAGTCCGAGATCACACACTGTGCGAGTGCGGCCTAGAAGACGGTACCTTGGAACACATTTTTTTCAATTGTCCTAATATTGCTGTTCCACTTTATAACTTACTTTCTCCAAAATTCCCCCGCCCCATTAACATAAATAACCTCTTAACTTTAGTGCTCTCCCCCCATATTGTTACTCTATGTAAATTTATCCACTTAAATAACATATATTTATAAATGTTTTACATTTTGTTTTTGTTTTACATTCTCCACTGAGTACTCCCGTGGTCCAACTTACCAACACCGGTTAATGTCCTATTAGAGCTTAGCGATTATTTTTTTTGTTTCGTTTTTTTTTCTTACAACCGTGACATTGGCAAAATCATCATTTCTCATAATGATGGAGCCATAAAAATAAAAAGTGAAGTGAAGTGACTTGTCTCAAATATTTACGATTTAAAGCTCTGAATGTCACTGCAACTGCTAGAATAGACGCGTCGCTTATTATCCCTAGGCGCACGACTTGTTCGTCTCGTCACTTGCTATCATAAAAGAGAAATTTAGAGGAAAAATGACACCTTCTTCTTTTAAATGCTATGGCTCCGTCGAAACAAACGATGTTTGCGCCAATGTCAAGTAAAAATGACTATGTGCTGTACTTCTACTTTATAATGTTACATCGCCATCGATACCATACCGGTAAACCCGCCAATGCCAAGTTGAGGAACGCATGCGTTTTTAACTCAAAGAATGACCGGTAAATTCCGAAAAAGTTCACTGAGGAGAGAATCTACAACAACAGAGTATATACACAGACTATTATAGAAACAAATTATATGAGTTTGTCAACTTCATTAACTTCCGTCAATGAATTATGGTGTAAGAATAAGGGAGTCACAACGTGTGTGAACGGTCGTATACAGAGCTGTTGCCACCTATTGGATGGTTCTTATATCAACTGGCCACATTGGGTTCAGTTGAAAAGCGTGCCAATGGCAAGACGCTTATAAGTAACGTGACCATGCGTCAGTCCCGCTATTAAGCTTCGCGTCCCGCTGCCCCCAAAATAGTTAAAAATATCCCGCTTTGATTAAACAGGACACGCGTGACAATACATTCAGAAGAATGGCGCGTAGCAGCAAGTAAGTCATATTTTACATAGTTATGTTTTTGGCGGGAGTTAATCGATGGCGGTGCCGATCTCGGCCCGTGGAACGTGTTTAAAATGTGTTGTGCTTGGTCGAAAAATATATAAAGCCAGCCCACCAGACGACATAATACTAGATATTATTTTAATTATTGATCATTAAATATTTAAAAAAAAAATTAGATCACTAAACATTTCGTAACTATCATGAACATGTGTTTTATTTTTAAAACAATAATAAATTTACACGAGTCCCGCCTAGAAGGAAAAAATAATGGTCACGTTATCTATACGACTCGGCATTAGTTTAGACGAAGCTGCAAAGTCTTGAACACCGCCGTAAAGTTTCCTACTTATTGCTATTGTACAAGATATATCGCGGAAAGTGTGCGATAGAATACCACAATTTAATTCCGCTTTCCGCCGTCTTTACCGCCTTCTGCCGTTTTCACTAATCTATCGAAATGTTTGTTACAGAGGCTTCACATACTACCAAGTGACGAATCTAGACAACCGGATATCGAACGCGGACCAGCTACTCACGACGGACATAGACAAGTTCTGTGAGACCGTCATAGACTTGTACAGCAACATTAGCAAGCCTCTACTCGATATTAGCATTTATTTGTACAGGCTTACTGTTAACTTGGGACCTTCGGTGAGTGTCTGTTTATAGTACATTTCACTGCTGGTTGCATATATGTACACCCAGTACTCTATCTATCACAGTCAACAACCTGTTGCCTGGCTCTCATAAACAAACACTTATCATAAGAAATTTGACTGAATGGTGGTTTTCACATATTTACGTAGAGTTTGTAAAACTAATCAAACTAAGCAAATTTCTCATCAAAGTTTTTTTTAACGCACGCATTCATAGCCCCATACTAGGGAAACTGTATCACGGGTGCAAAGGACACACACATACGCAACCACAAATTACACCCAAACCTGACGAGAGGGATAAATATAGGCCATACGAATATTTTTGCCCGGGAATCGAACCCGGGACCTCTGCGTAGCAGACCAGCATAACAAAGTTAGTTTTCTTTCTCTATTATATTAATAAATTTTGGTAGCATCGACGATCACTAAGTGCTCAACTTCAAGGTTGACGGCCTTTGTGGCCCAGTCGTTAACACTATGGGCAATGGATGTAGAGGTCCCTGGGGTCGATGTCCGGTGGGACAATTTGGTGAACGAAGTTTCATAAATTTGGCTCTTTGTGTTCTGGGTGTTTTTAGTGTAGTTTGCAATGTAGTTGTCTGGTAAATTATTATATTATTAACCCTTTTCTGGCGAAATATATTCTCAGAAAAGGGTTTTTGTTCATATTTTGACGAGCTTCGTGGTTGTTTGGTATGCACACCAGTTTTCGTGGTGTCGCGATTTCCGAGGTCCCGTGTTCGATCCCCGGCCGAGTCAATGTAGATAAATGAACTTTTCTATATTGTCTCGGGTCTAAGTGTTTCTGGTGCCGTCGTTTTCGATTTCCATAACAAAAATGCTTTAGGTTTACTTTGGACCATAACAACGTATGTTATGTTGTCTTATATTTATATTTATTTAAAGTGTTTCTTCTTTTTATTTGAAGTACATCATTTTGAAACGAAATTGTTTCGGTAAAATCATTTTCTATTAATATAACTTTGCCATCAGCGCACCCGAAAATAAACCTTATGAATAAAATAGGAAACAATATATTCCGCCCGGTCTTACTTTACCTTCACATTATAAAGGAATGGACACAGGTAAACGACATTTATTACGCGTGCCGTATTCTTATATTCTTGTACAGTACACCTTATGTTAAATCTTAATTTCCACAATTCATTTATTTGTATTCATCATCATCATCATCATCATGCACAGGCCTTCTGCAACCACTTCTGGGTTTATGCTTCCCGTAGTTGTGCCATAGACCAGGATTCCGCAGTAGTCTTGCCCATCTATTTAATCAATTTTGAGGATGTATACCCATCTCCAGTACGGCGCTTAATTTTCTGTAACCACTTTCACCACTTTTCGTTTCATATTCTAGTACTATTCTAGTATATACATAAAGTACTAGTTAGTATTCTAGTATATCTCCTTTAATCCCTTTAAGGGCGTGGTCCCATTATGTCGCAACGTTTAATTATCGTTGGACGACTGTTAGCCTGTTCCCATATCACGACTATCTGTCGTGATTGTGTCGTGGACGTTTATTTTATCGTTAAACGACTGTCGTGTCTAGCTGTTCCTACTATATCGTGACGACAATTTATTGGTTCACGGAAGCCCCCTTGTCGTTTGTTCGATAGTATCGTTTAAAGTTGCGATTGTCTGTCGTCACATTTTTATCGTGACGTTTTATTTATCGTCTGACGACTGTCATTCTAGCTCTTACCATTGTCACGACACGACAGTCAGTAAGGTAAGGTAAAAAATAGTCGTGAACGACAGTTTATCGTGCTGTACTGTATGTGAACAATTTTATTTAAATATACAAGTCACGACACTTTAAACTGCACGACTGTTAGTCGTCACGACATAATGGGAACGCACCCTAAGAATAAAAATGCAAAGTGGTTTGATTTATGTTTCCGAGAGTGTATTGTATTTTGATTTTTTGCTTTTTATTTTTAATCATAGAGCCGTGGTAGTCTAATTTACATTTTACATTTTAATAATAAATGTTTAATTCGTTTATTTTCAGACACCCGGCATCATGATGGCGTATTTATTGTTGTCCGGTGCTTTCCTTACTTATTTGAGAAAACCTACAGGTAGCCATAAATTACAATTCATTGAGTAAATTAATTTTTATTTATACGTCTCCCATAACCTTCTTAGATTTTCGTGATTGATACACATCTGAAAAAAAAACTATTTTTTGGGACCTGTAAAGAGCATGAAACTTTGTTTCGCTGGAAAAAAACCAGTATATACAGGTTGTATATTTGAAAGTGAGATATATTCATACATGTCATAGTAAATCATGTTACAACTTAACATAGACTAAAATGAAACTAGGACATGGGATGGAACAAAAAATAAATCAACAAATGTGTTTTGAAGTGTACATAGGAATAAACCGTTTCCCTTTACGCTTGATTTCGAGTGCAATGGGAATACTACCAAGCGAGCGCCGAGTGAGACAGCAGCAATAACAATGATTTCACATTTACGTTTTAGCTTATGCTAATTATTTTTTACTTGAACTATCATCGAAATGTTTTACGTACTAAAAAAGATAAGTTTATGATTTAGTAACTAGTTATCATTTAATAAGAATTGAGGTTTTTGGCGTAGTTAAAAATGTGAAACCTAATTATTTACAATGATTGATTTTTTAGTTATCTACAGTTTATTTACACTTACGTGGTACGAAGCAAGTTAAAAATGTCCACCGTTTTCCACAACGCATAGTCTAGCACGGCATAGTAAATTTTGTTTTAAATTGTACAACACAAACACATTTTGTCTTATAGTATAAAATGCTGAGATAATCCTTTCACGCAACACTTCGAGACTGTTCACCTCCTCCGCGTGTACTCCGATTTGGGAACATTTTAATAGCTTGCCTCACACTATCACCACTTATTGCGTAAAGTCGCACCATCTCGGTCAATTCGACGTTAGAATAAATATCCATTTTGCGGCGAACGGGTGAGCGGAAGTACAAATAATTTACGTATCTTCGTTAGATCAAGATCGCGCGTGCACTGTCTGAAGTTGCAAACAGCAATTTCGCGGGTGCGGGCCCCCCACCCCGACCTGTGCTTTGTTTTTCGCCGCCGTGCCACCACCCGCCGCTGCATCGGAGCAATAATAGTGATGTGCATAGATTTCGATAACTAATGTTGTACTCAAGTGGTAGTCGATAAAAAAAATTAAAAAAATATTTTTTGTAAAGTTTAAGTTCATTAGTTTATTATTTCTTTGGGTTCAGGAATATAACGCACTCTATAAGTATGTCCCACTTGCAAATATACAGCCTGTATAAAAAATAATATGTATAAATAAATAATTTCCAAATATCGATTGACCATTTTTTTTCTGTTTGGTTTTATATCAGATATTGATATTTTTGTTACTGTTTTTACTAGGAGACAACCAAATGTCAGAGACTCTTATTATTTTGAACTCCTCTCGCCCACATCCATGTTAGAACATTTACTTGAATACTTGTGTGTTTTGGGAGGATATTTTTGTACATTCTCCTCTTGCGGCCTAAAAGAATAATTTGAATTTTTTCAATGGGAGACGCATTATTCTTCGGCAACGGCACAGTCGGCTGAGGTCAGGGACTCAGGTTCAAGAACCGGCGAAAGATACATGTCGCGTATCGCGCACTTCATTCTGCGTTATTATTATACTCAATTTATATTGTTTCAAAGTTCAAAATCTTACCAAATATTATACAGGGTGTAAATTTGAGACGGGGCAGCAAGGCCAGCTACCTTAATAGTTGTAATTACAGGAAAACGGTTCTAAAAGACTATCCATGAGTTTTGAAGATATTTTGATTGGCATTCACAGATTTTAGAAAAATCGTACAAAATGCAATTTTTACAAATTTTTTTTATGCCATTCGATTTGGTCTCTGGTAAGAATCAATAGTCTCTATGGGACCAACTGAGGTAAGAGTACTCGAAATGGCAGAAATCGCAACCGTTTTCCTGTAATTACAACGATTAAGGTAGCTGGCCTTGCTGCCCCATCATAATATATAAACATCCTGTATGCTCATTTCACAGCTGTGTTGTTGCAATCGATTTAACACGATTTTTATATTTTTTTCAGCGAAATTGACGGTCCAAGAACAAAAATTAGAAGGAGAATTCAGATACGTAAATTCTAGACTTATTACGAATTCTGAAGAAATCGCCTTCTACCAAGTAAGTACTCATTCATGAAGTATTTTCTTTAGTATCTTTATCAACAATATCTTTTTCCCTCTTATTATACGGATACAATCCTTTTCCTAAGCCGATTCTGATCGATAAATGTGACAATTCCCTTAGGCTCAATTTACATTGCTGTGGAAGGGAATGAGGCTCAGTTTACATTGCTGCGGAAGGGAATGGAAGGCGTTTTAACTGTAACTGTTTGTTTTTGGCTCATATCCAGTTTGTACGTTACACAATTGATATAAAGTCCATTATTCGTTACAAAAATTCGCTTCTATTCCGCTAGTTTTGATTATAGTGACCCTTCCTATCATCCATGTGCAAGCACAAGGTACCCTTCCCTATGGTTGCGTTTCCACCTCATTTCTATTGGAACCGCAACCTTAAAGTTCAGATCCTAACCATAGACCAACCGGTGGATAAGGTTGTCACAGACTTTATCCGGTTCTCAAAAGGCTAGTGCCTCGGGTGAGCAACCCCGGGTGCACGTACAGCACCCTCCCTATTCTCCAGATAGGTAGAGGAGCTGTTGGCACACTCACTTCCCGTTGTGCATTGTACGGTTGCCAGTGCTTCGCGGCAGTCTAGTTCTCCTTGTGAAAGAGTTCGACCAGGAAATTACTGCCACCTTACTTATTACTACCGCCAAGCAGTAACGTAAGCTTTACTGCGTTCCGGTTCTGGGTAAGGGTGCTGGTGAAATTACAGACAAATGAGTTTGTCACCTAATGTCTCAGGGTGCAGTGGCAGCTCTTGTGTGGCACTGCAACTGCCATGGACAGGCGTGTCGCTTACCACCAAGCGCACTACTTGTCTGTCCCACAGCTCGGTATCATAAAAAAATCTAAATTGAGTCTTGGGCTATAATTTTGTCTTTATTGTGTCAAGCCTGAAAATGGTTCTATTCGTAAATCCATTTAAAAGTGAACACGTCTGTTAATACAATTACAGGGCAACCATAGAGAGCAGTTAACGCTTCTGGCAAGCTTCTACAAGTTGACACGGCATCTGAGGAACTTCCTCAACTTCAGAGTCGGCATGGGCTTCATAGACAACATTGTCGCTAAGTGTGAGTCGATCAAAAATTTTACAATAGACAATTGATTATAAAAGAAAACTGTAAGCGTCGTAGAGGGAGAATTGGGTAGAGAGGCTCTATAAATAATAAAAACCGTATAAGCGAGATAGATTTATGTACAGACATATCAGAGTAAACGAGAAAACAATATTATTTTTTGTCTCTTTCTGCGTATGCGGTTTTGGTTGTATGACTCAACCCTCGTTGAGTCCAGCAAATCCTTCCGAGTGTTTGATGTGCATCGATTTTATGTGTTTGTGCTTTTAAGAAGTGTTTTACAAAGTTACTAACCGTTCCTTTGTAGTAATTGACAATTATTGCAGCTCACAATAATGGTGCATTGTTATATTTTAAGCTGTAAAACCCGCACGGAACGAAAAATTCCCAACATAACCTTTCACACGTAAGTTTTAATTTTTCATTACAATCAATGAATTTTCTTGTATGAATTACTAGTGAAATACTTTTACAAGCCTGGAATATTACGATTTCATGATTGAATGATTTTAGATGATATTTCAAGTGTTTTTCGTGATTGAAAGATTTTTGTTTGCATCGTGTAAACCTCCTAAAATAAGGAGAATGTCTTACTTTTGTCAAATATGTCCATCTCGCTTCTACCAGCAGTGGTATGATACGCGAGTAAGAGAGATCAAATAAATAACGTATAAATTAAATTAGACAGGCTTAAGCTGATTTTAGGGATACGATAAGATTTTCCCCAATTTATGGGTAATTTGAAATATTGTATTTTTTTAATTTTCCATACTTTTTCAGTTTGAAATATGTATACTAAGTGAAGTCAAGGGCCAATAAAAAAGTAATATTTTGTCGTAATTGTTTTATTTGGTTTCTAAAACTCAACCAAGCTAAATGTGGTCTGGCGGATTCTCTCTCCTTAGACTCGGCAGATTTCATCATTATCATGAACCCATTTATATGTCCCACTGTTGGCCATGGTTCTCTTCTCAGGCGAGTGCTTAGGCGACAGTCCACCACACTGGCCCAATGATTGTTGGGGACTGCACACGTTTTCCGAGGATTTTGAATCTTCTTCAACGTTTCATCACGATGTTTTCCTTCACCGAAAAGTTCATGATAAATTTCAAATTGAGATTCGCACAAATTCCGAGAAACTCAGAGGTGCGAGTCTGGTTTCGAACCCACGACCGTCTGCTTGAGAGAGGCAGTAAGTCAAACCATTAGGCTACCACGGCTTCATTTTCATTTCAATTTCTTTAACGGGGTAAAATTTTAAAAGTATACAACCCAGAATTTATAGGTACTCTGTTGGTATCCCTTTTCAGTATACGCGAGAAGCTTCTCTATTCTTTTTTTTTATTCTCCCTCTACGGTTATCGTCCTTTTTTTGACAAAATTCTGTGACTTTTGAATTAATTTTTTCTTCAAATTTTTTTTTTCTTATTTCTCGGTAAGCGTTTTAGCCACTTACAAACTCTTTGGCTAACTTGTTTTTAAAACGGGAAAACTTTTATAATGTCAATGAATATCATTTGGAAACGGGATTTGAAAGTTGGAGAAAAAGTGAAAAAGGGGTCAGGCGAGCAATTATGGGATGTAAATAAACGAATGGTATAAATGTAGAATAAATATTATAATATAATATCTATTCTATAAGTGACATTTTAAACAAGAAGTCTTTATAGCTATAGTAAGAAAATCACTATCTTTCTGCACGTGAAACTCAATAACAAAAAAGCTATAAACTTAATAAGAGTTTTATCTGTAGGAAGTTGGTGATTTTCTTACAACAGGTACATAATTTAGAGAGTTTTTTGGAAAATGTCACTATGTGGTTTTATCTTTAAGCAGAAGATATTATTGTTACAGAAGTAAAATTTTTATATTATTTTCTAAAATAAATTATTAATTATGATTTGATTGTGACGTTTGTAATGTCATAATAGTATTGTACACACTGAAAAGGTACGAAACGTCCCTTCACGATCAATTTTCATCATTAATATTACTTTAGTGATTTAAAAGATGTCGAAAAGCGAATTTCAGATGGATTTTGAATAAAATATCTTATTATTGAATATAATAAAAATCGTTATACATTTCAAAGCCCAACCAAAATCTCATAAAAATCTTTTGATAATACGTACTTGAATGGCATTCACTTCACCGGCAATAGTCTTCAATCAAAGAGACTTCTCTCACAAATTCAAACGCAGTTGTTAACATTTGATACGACGACATAAAGTTGATTTTATATTGATTTATTTTCAGATATCGCGATCACAGTTGGTTTCTACGCGGTATCGAGGCCTTTCTTCGCAGTAAACCACAACTTGCTCACAACGGGCACTGAAAACGACAGATTTAAGGTAATAAGTTGTTTTAAATAATGTATTAAAAACAATATATTGAAATTTTATACAGTTGTGTTTACTTTGTTTTTAGGACATAAGAATCGTAAGTGTATTTTTTTGTTTTTATTAAGGGTTTTGGCTTGGATACAAGTCCTTTGAGCCATGTCTTCATTTAATTATCGGGTCCACATTAAATAGTTTCCATTGTGGTTCTACAACATTATGTTTTCACTTACTCTTAAATAACTTAGTTCTCTTGTTTGGGCTTTCTAAATAGTCTTTTAAGCGGCGGGAGTCAATATTTATGTTTTCACTTTCACTTAAATCACATTATTGTCAATTTGAACAAAAACATTGAATTCGTAACTATTGGAATTTTCAGGTTAAACTCTTTTGTAATTTGGTTTAAAATAAGGTATATAGTTCTAACTTTCTTCATCACTATTTCTTTCTTCGTATTTTCTTCATAATATTCTTCTAATAAAATTAATTTTTTTGGAAAACTGTACTTCTAACTTCAAAAGCCCGCCATTTTTTCCGTAACTGTGTTCCTTTAATATAAAATGTTGCCCTTTTAATTTTTTGTTTTTTTTTTCATTAAAAATTTTGTTTTTACGAAGACAATTTAAATGCTGTTTATTATTTAAATAATTTTTACGATCTATTTTTTCAGAACTACTAGACTATTTTTGTTAATACTCTCAACAATGAAGTACAATTCGAAATAATATTTTATGCAATCGTTGCATAATGATGGTTCTTAAAGTCGAATATCGTATACGAATACGAGATTTTAAGACCTAACTACTGTAATGATTGCATACAATACTTTTTCTACGAGTAAATAAAATTGTGACACAGTAGCAATATATTTTGTTAACAATCCATGACAACAAACGCATTTAAAAATAAAATTGTAATCCATTTATTAGGGTAGGCAAAGGTTCCACCATACAGCCTCTACATATATTTAGACGAAAGCCAAGCAAACGCTACAAAACAAAAACCAAAGAGGTAGAATAGAACTGTCCAAGTACCGCACATATTTTAACCAATCATTTTTTTATAAAGATTTATTTGCCCGGTTGCAAGAGTTTTACAATTTAACCCATCTGGAGGCAACTTAGCGTTTAAGTGGCGTCGTAATTGATATTTTAATTAGCAAAAATACGACGTTCTTTTTTTGAAACTTATAGTTCTGTGTACAATACTATAATATTCACGACGGCAAACGCAATTGTTTTTTTCTGTGTACAGGACTCATCGAGTGTATAACCAGAAATAGAGACGAAAAAAGGGCCATCCATCCCTGGCAACTCATCAGGAATATGGGCAAAATCACTTTTAAATATCAACTTTCGTTTACGCTGAAATTACAAAATAGACAGCTGAAATAGTACAGCGCCAACAACTGACGTACGTGTGTACGTGTATAGTCTAAAAATATTCAGTATTTATTGTAATAAAAAGAATATCTCTAAGAATGGGGGGCCTGTTCCATTCGGTGGTTTGGGAAGAACAACAAACATTAATTACAACTAACTACAACTAATTACAAAAGAAACGGAATCACATTTCATCGGCAATTAAATATTAAATGTGTAATTTTTGAATTATCATCCGTTATAGGAAAGCTCTAGTTAAACTGGTCGATTTGAAGTGAATTCGGGCTGGCCAATCGGAGCGCAGTTGTCACAGTAATGATTTGGCAGAATAATTTTCAAACAAATTAAATTACATTTCGTCTCCATTTCTGGTTATGTACTCGATGACAGGACTTTAATGAAATTTTTCAACTCAGTGGCGAGTACCATAGGCTATAGAATTTTGATTCAGAACTAAAAAGAGCTCCTTTTTGATATGGTTTATGAAATTATAAATGACAGATTAAAGTACAGGAGTAGAAAAAGTATTTTTTCGAATTGTGAACTTCGTTGTTGAGAGTGCGACATAAATAAAAGTATCCTTTATATGTAATGTACTGGCTGGTTGCATTCCAGCACTACTACACATACGGGCGTATGTTGGTGAAAATGGCCGAAGGCATCGGTCGCTTGGTGCTCTCCGGCAGAGAGATGACGAAGCTAGCTGGCCTGACCACTCGCGTCACGCAACTGCGAACGGTGCTTGACGACATTGCACAGGGCAATTACACGAGGACTATGGTGGACCGAGCGCAGGCCAACGGCAACGGTAACATAATTATTTATACGTTTGATTATGGCAATAGTATAGTATACTGCCACATAGTATATAATAATGCTACATAGTATAGTATAGTATAATATAGTATAGTATACTGCCGTCCACTTATTAAAACGCGGCTAAGTGACCAATGGTCAAATATCCGTTTTAAATAGCAAAAAGTAGATCACAAAATTTCTCTTTTGAAAACAGTTAAAATACTGTCCGACAACTTCGTTAACGCGTCATGGCCGACAGTCGTCACGCTGCGTTTATATTTCTTGTATCTATATTTCGCATTAGTTCCATTTCATGCAGACAAATTAGCTAAAAACCATGATTACAGACTATACTTTCATACTACAGAGACAAAAAGTCGATTGCATGAAATAGAACGCAACTTATCGAAGTATCTTCTCCTAATGAACGGCCATATGTTCATACCACACTCGAGGAGTGCATCTCATGGAGTTGTTTCAATTTGACAGGAACACCTATGCTGATGACCCCCGGCGCCGGCCGCATCATCTATCAGGACAATATCATCCGGTTCGAAAAGGTGCCGATCGTCACTCCCAACGGAGACGTACTTATTTCGGAACTCACCTTTGAAGTCAAGTATGTATATAATGCACTTTATAGAAACCTACAAAACCATTTACTTCATATAATCAATGTCTCTATATTATAATTTATAATCTCGGTACAAAATACTAAAAAAACCGACCCCATATATTATATTTGCCAAGTTTTATTGAAATCGGTTAACGGAAAGTCCGTGAAACCGGAATCATCGGAAGTACAGGGGTACTTCCGATGAATAAAAATTTGGGAACCGATTTTGACGATTCTTTTTTTGATGGAAATAGGGTACCTCTCTATAGGTAGGGTCTCATTTAAATTTGAAGAAAATATTATATAAATATAATTTAAATGAGACCCTACTACCTATAGAGAGGTACTCTATTTCCATCAAAAAAAGAATCATCAAAATCGATTCACAAATTTTTATTCGAATTTATCTCGCGTATCGAGAACGTCCTCCTTTTTTTGAAGTCGGTTAAAAATACAAAGTCGCGATCGTGACGTCTAATATAAACATAATACATTGTCTTAGACATTTACTAATATGGTAACGAAACTATTTTTTCGTATCTAAAATATGAACTATAGTTTTGACGACCTCCGGCAGTCGAGCGTCTTGCACACCGGTTGTCATGGTGTCGCCATCGCTGAGGTCCTGCGTTCGATCCCCGGCCGGGTCAATGTAAAAAAACTAACTTTTCCATAAACAGTCTCGGGTCTGGGTGTCTGTGGTGCCGCGCCGTGTCGTAGTTTCCGATTTCCATAACACAAGTGCTTTAGTTCCTTTGGGATTAGATCAACGTATCGTCGCCTTTCTCAAACTCGTATCTTAAAGTACAAAGTTACTGAAATGGAAAAAATGGATTGTTATATACAATTTTGGTGGCTGATATCACGTCACATTTCCTTTATATTCACACAAGGGGGTTTTACCTGTTCTTATAGTAGTGCACATTTAAAATAAATAGAAAGTTTTGCCATCTCCTGAATAAACTCTTTATACGATACGAGTTCGAGAAAGTAAGGCATCGTTATGTGATATTGTTTAAAGGCGCATTCCCATTATGTCGTGACGACAGACAGTCGTGCAGTTTAATGTGTACAACACGATTAACTGTCGTTCACTTTTTTAACATTACGACGACAGACAGTCGTGATAATGGGAAGGGCTAGAACGACAGTCGTCAGACGATAAATAAAACGTCGCGATAAAAATGTGACGACAGAGAATCGCAACTTCAAACGATTCTGTCGTGCAAATGAAAGGCGGCTGCCGTGAACCGATAAATTGTCGTCATGAACTAGTGGGAACAGCTAGACACAACAGTCGTTCAACGATAAAATAAACGTCCACGACACAGTCACGACAGGTAGCCGTGATATGGGAATAGGCTGGACGCGACAGTCGTCCACCGATAAATAAAACGTTACGTCATAATGGGAACGCGCCCTATTATTTATTTATTTTATTATTTGTTACCAAAATATTAATTTATCTTATTTTATTTTTAATCAATTGTTTTTGTAATTGTCGCTTAATATGATAGGGAAAATATGACAGTCTTGTATGAGCGATCGACCGTCGTTCCACACTTTGGAAGCGGCCTATTTTGAAACAATCCGAAGTACCTATCAAATCCTAGAAAATTGAGAATATATTAACCAAAATAAGATTTTTGAAAAGGAGGTAAACAATACAAAGGAATTAACAGGTCGACGTGTCATAGAAAAATTTACAGTATAATTCAATTCAGTTCACTGTACATATAAGATAGCGTACATAAATATTGACTAACATTTGTAGCAGTACAGCTCTGCTTTTACAATATCAAGTGACGGGAGGAACAAGTCGTGCGCCTGATGGTAAGCTACACGTCTGTCCATAACAGTTGCAGTGCCACTTAGAGCTTTAAATCGCAAAGATCTGAGGGGCACTGCCACTGTGCCCATCACTCTGAGACATAAGTTGACAAGTCCCATGTGCCTATAATTTCATCAGAAAATGCACCTTACTTGTTTCTGCCGCTAATCGGTAGTGTACACGTACGGTTACAGCCGTACAGTTTTGAAGGATAATGGTGCTGGTGAAATTGCAGGCACATGGGTCTTGTCTACTAATGTTTCGGGGTGACAGGCGCAGAGGTAGTGACCTTCAAATCATTGCGATTTAAAGCTCTTAGGAGCACTGCAACTGCTATGGACAGGCGTGTCGCTTAACACCAGGCGCATGACTTGTTCGTCCCGTCTCTTGACGTCATAAAAAAAATTACAGGCACGTGGAATTTGACAAGTTTGTGTCTCAAAGTGACGGGCTCAGATCTTTCCGATTTAAAGCTTTGAATGACACTGCAACTGTTAGGGGTAGTCCTGTCGCTTACCACCTGTTGCAAGACTGCTTTTGCACTACATTAAATATTTCATCTTTCTTCTACTAAAACCGAATTTGCCTCAACAGGGCGGGAATCAATGTTCTCGTTTGTGGCCCCAACGGCTGCGGCAAGTCGTCGATGTTCCGCATCTTGGGTGAGCTGTGGCCCATCTTCGGCGGAACTCTCACGAAGCCACCAAAGGGCAAGCTGTTTTACGTGCCTCAAAGGCCTTATATGACACTTGGCACCCTTCGCGACCAGGTTCGTTCTTTTATAATCGTCTCAAATTTTAATTACGTCAGTGGTATAAAATTCCATTATTGGAGATTTCTTATACTAACATTTTTTTTGTTTGTTTTTGTGACTAACTGAACTGCAAGACAATAATATAAATTGTGAACTTTTGTATACCACAAAGCTGATTACAATGATTGAAAATCCATTCTTGTAACGGTTTTATAATCTATTTATAACAATATATAAATGAGTTTGAATTTTGTTATAAAATTGTAAAAGCAAAACATAATTTAATTAGGCTATAATTAAAATATAATTAAATATGCCGTTGTATTGTATTCTGCATAACCAAAATATAGTATTATCTCAAAAATTGAAATTAAATCGTATACGAATGACATACATGATATGTTTTAGCAGCAATAGAGCTCCTTGTGAAAGAGATCGTCCGGGGAAGTACTGCCACCTTACCTATTTCAGCCGCCAAGCAATAATATGACCATTACTGCGTTCCGGTTTTGAAGGATAAGGGTGCTAGTGAAACTACAGGCACATGGGACTTGTCAACTTGTTTCAGGGTGACGGACACAGTGGCAGTGCCCCTAAGATCTTTGCGATTTAAAGCTCTGAGTGGCACTGCAATTGTTATGGACAGTCACTGTTAGAAAAACAATTTGTTGTCATGTGCGATATGTAAGGTGTTGTGTGTCTACTTACGGTACTTTAGGGTAATTCAAATTATTTATCACCTCCAATATAAATAAATTAATTTTAATTATGTGTGTATATGTAATGACCAGGTGATCTATCCTCAAACGCGCGAGGAAATGATGCGACGCGGGCGCAGCGATGACGAACTCAACTCCTTCTTGGAGATTGTGCAGCTATCTTACCTCACTGCGAGGGAGGGTGGATGGGACGCCGTGGAGGACTGGATGGACGTCCTTTCTGGAGGAGAAAAACAGCGTATTGCGGTACGTAATCTCAAATGGAACAGCTTCTAACTTTTTATATACTTTCATGCACTAAGAAGTTGTATTATACCATAGTCCCTTGTACTGTTTAAGAATCGATACTACCTCAGCTTGAATTAAAAATTTTCCCGTACTAATACGGTTCATTTTGCTTGGGTCGGGCGGCAGCGACACTGGCTGTATTTCAGAATGTATTTTTTTACAAACGAAATTAAATCCATTTGAAAAATGTATATCGCATACTATACGTGTTATATTTAGTTCAGTTGATATAAAAAAAAAAATCATTGGTATATCACACTGTTATTACAATAGTGTTATAACTAAAAACATGTGAAATTCAAGATTATACCATTGTTGAACGTAAAATTTGATTCTCTACACGTCAATAAAACCGTCGTTAGAATATTGTAAAAAACAACTAAAAGATCTACTACTTAACTCAAAATGAGACACACTTTATGTGAGCTAGTTCTGGTCATCATAGTCCTTATTAAAAAATATGACATTATTTTTTCTCTTTTATTTTTAAATATTTATATTTGGCAAATAGGAAATAACTTATACATAAATTTACGCAGATCTTTCAAGGGAAGCGAGTAATTCGTTTTTCGGCCATTCTGAGAAAATATACTTTTTGAGCATTGACTTACAAATAAATGGACGACGGGTCTAATACAAAAACCACGAAAAAAATGTCCCAAGTCAACCTGTTCGAAATTTAAATTGTTATGTCATCGCAGTATCGCGCTGTCCGTAGAACAAATGAAGACTAAAGCGGAGTGTCGCGCTCTGTATACGATTTTAGCGCCTTACAAGTGCGGACACTTTTTAGCGCGGACCCGACGTCCATATAATTGTAAGTCAATGTTTTTGAGTTATTAGACTATTGTATTAACAGTGCGATATGTAAAGTACCTATTGAATGCAGCGGTTTTCTTGCAAAATTTCGAGGTAAGTTTGTGCTTTTTTCTGTCGTGAAAATTTTTAGGAGTCGTGTTTTCACACCGTATCCATGTTTATCCTCAATTTTGCTATATATTTTTTCCAAAGTGAATGATCATCAACACTTTCATTGTTATGCGAAATCAATCAAAGCCATTTTTTTTATTGACCAAAATACAAGAAAAGTACTTAATTACTAAACTGCCTCCGTGGCCGAACGGTTACCATGCCGGACTGCCACGCAGAGGTCCCAGGTTCGATTCCCGGGCCGGGAGAAATATTTGTATGGCCTACATTTATTTCTCTCGTGAGTTTGGGTGTAATTTGTGGTTGTCTATGTGTGTGTCCATGGCACCCGCGACACAGGGCTTCCCTAGTGCGGGGCTATGTTGAGTGTGAGCGTTAAAAAAAAAAAAAAAAAAAATTACAAGCTTCGCTCACAAAAGCCCTTCCGGCTTTATCCGCGGCGAATGGATTTAGTCTATTTAAGTAAAGATATAATGTAATAGAGCAAAAATCTCAAGATTTCAATGTGTATATAAATGTCATATAATAACAATTAAGCTATTTACAAAATATAGTTTATTATTTGAGGTTGTATAGATTCTTAAGTACGTAACATTCGTTTTCCAAGGATGATGAACCTTCATCGACATGCAGGTTTCATCACGAGGTTTTTCTTTATCGTTAGCAAGAGGTATTACCACTCAGCATTCACAAATGTACATACAAATTGTAGTCATACGTACGTGCGACTGGGCTACCATCGCTTCGCATACAGAATGTTTTTTTTAAACTGGGACAGTATGTGAAATCGGAAATTATAGGTGATATAGGGAAACTGTCTTAGGAACCAATTTTATTCATTTTGTATGAAACACGGTTTATTAATTTTATTCATTTTGTATGAAACACAGTTTATTAATTTTTAAGTTTATTGAATTGCACGATTTTTGACCACCATGATTATCAATTATTTTTGTAAAATGACTCCACTAGTTTGTTATAATTATTAAGTTATAATTAATAATACAAAGATGCTAACACTTAGAAAAAAACAAAAATCTGCAACAAGAACATTGAAAAATTCGTAAGGTCCGCTGGTTCGTTACGTGGCTTAGTGGGCATAGCGTCTGGCACGCTTTGCTGGAAGACGTTGGTTCGAATCCTGCCCGATCGAAAGAATTTTTTCTAAGTGTTCGTTCGATCTTTGTATAAATAATTATAACATTGTATTAAATTTGACCAACATCTGCTGTCCCGACTTTTCTCTTCCAATACAATGAAATTATCCTTACGTGAAACTGAGTCGATCAGTATAAACAAATTAATCAATTTTATTTATTTTTTTGGACAACTCACGCTTGACCAAAAAATTTACTATGCCAAAATGTTTTCACGAAAATAATGTCCCAGTTAAAAATCACATTTTAATTTTTTTTTACTAATTTTTCATTTTACTTCCTCTGCTTTTTGACTAATTCGTGTGCGTTATCGACAGATGGCACGTTTGTTCTACCACCGGCCGCAGTTCGCCATCTTGGACGAGTGCACCAGCGCTGTGTCCGTCGACGTAGAAGGACAAATGTACCGGTATTGCAGAGAGGTAATATTGCGTTCTGTGATAAGGTTTTCTATTTATTTATGACCTTTTATACAATTGTATATCGCACCTTTAATAATAAAGTGACGTATTCGAAAAGTAACATTTTTAAGGATCCGAGAGAAAGAGCGGAATCCAGTCAGACTGAATGAATTTTTCTTCGTATTGTTCGATCTTTATATCAATAATAACAACAAACTAGTGTAGTGTTATGGACAGTCGTGTACCTTACCATCAGGCGCACAATTTGTTCGTGTCCGTCACTTGATATGTATTTAAAAAAAGTTATAATAATTATAACCACAGACATATATCTAGATAGACGCCACAAGTGTACGTACTTGGCGTGCCGAATATAAGTGACACTCTTTAGTTGCCGCTGCTACGCTTCAGAACGCGCTCGACCATTATCGTAGATACACATCAGCGAAAAATGCCTGATTGTGCCATTATAAACTGCAAAAGCACCATAACTGTGGCACCATAGGTGTGTTAACGAGTACACAGGGACGTTCCCTTCCACGGATAAGTAATTTTGTAATTAGAAGATGCATAATTTATTAGGGCTTATACTCCGGTTTTCATGGCGTCGCCATCTCTGAGGTCCCGGATTCGATCCCCGGCCGGGCCAATGTAAAAAAGTAACTTTTCTACATTATCTCGGGTGTAGGTGTTTGTGGTACCGTAGTTTTTTCTGATTTCCATAATACAAGTGCTTTAGTTGCTTTAGGATCAGAGCAACGTATGTGGTGTTGTTTAATATATATTTATTTATTATTAGTAATAACGTCATGATATTTAGTGAAATAAATTATTGCAATGTTAACCCACCTTACGGAATGTCGTAAGATTTTATATTGTTTTATTTAAATTTCCCTTTTTGGATATCGTCATTTTATAGTTAAGCGGTGCAATCTAATAATCGATCCCTCCTACGTAAAGTATCGTATGTCGAAATTGCCAAGTTTACAGGGGAGCGTTTTAGAGTTCGAATTCACTGAAATGATCATAATACGTGATTTTATCATTTTTTTCAGTTTTATTCGAGAACGAGTTTTAAAGTAACGAGTTTTGCCGAATAAAACTTAGAAATGTTAAAGTCACGTGTTATGCTCATTTTAGTGAATTCAAAACTTTAAAACGCTCCCCTGTAAACTTGGCAATTTCGACATACGATACTTTACGTAGGAGGTGTCGATATGTGAAATGCTGCATTCATCATTAATTAATTTCCATTACAAGCAGAGGCGTTTTCGAGTGGATCATAAAAAGGAGAAAAAAATTAGAACAACCACAGTTTTGGGTTACAAAATCGAAACCACTACCAATGCTAAAGCATTCTACTCGTCTCCGTCCGTCCGAAACAATTTCTGTCAAATAAGTAGTACTCGACTAAATTTTGAAAGACAATGTCAAGCACAGACATATTTCTAGATAGACGCCGCAAGCGTACGTACTTGGCGTGCCCAAAGTAAGTGAAATTCATTACTTGCCGCTGCTACACGTCAGAACACACTCGACCGTTATCGTAGAAAAACACCAGTCGAAAACGCGAAAAATGCATAATTGTGCTATGATAAACTGCAAAAGCACCATAACTGTGGGTAAACGGGTAAAGAGGGACGTTTCCTTCCACGGGCAAGTGATTTTGTAATCATCATTTGGTTTTGTACGAATTTCGAGAAAACAAATATGCAACTCAGTGTATGCCTCATGATTTGTAATACATTGCGGATTTTACTTGGTGCGATATATTTGTGATCCTTTGTTAATACGCCATGAATATCGAACGAACGCACTTTTGCATAGTGCATTCAGTTTCTGTGGTACGGCCGCTTGTACATTTTTTGGCCAAATTTAACATTTAATGATGTATACGTTAGGCAACACGGTTCTCGATTCTGATCGATTTTAAAAACAAAGGGACGAAAATTATTATGACTAATATTTTTATCTATTATCAGTAGTATCTGTAATTTCGATATTTTTTACAGCACGTTGCCTCGAATGTCTGAATATAGTAATTACTTAATTATTTAATTATTACGAGTAATACAAAAAAATATATAATACAAAGAATTAACAGTGCGCTGTCTTTACAAAAACCTGGAGTTGGTCATACGTATGAGTTCGTTGCTTTCGAGGACGAAGGTGGTCTAGTTTATCCCACCTAAGATGCTATCCAAATATGCAGAGTAGCAGAGTTCGAAATCCGAAAAATAATAAACAAATAACAAAAATTTCACACGAGGCCATCATTAAGTAAACCTCTTCTGATTAATAAGATGATACCATATTTTGTCAGTAGTAACATTTTCATTTGTCTGGCCATTTATCAATTTGATCAATTACCAAGAGAAAACCGTCTAGTAAAATTAATTAAGACAGTCTCAAGTTCATATAATGAGGTGCGTTTTCATTATTTAAATTAATCGATAAGATCTTCTATTACAAAAAGACAGTTATACAATAAGCTTATATTATTTCAATGACAATAATTTTATTTTTGAAGTTGATTAAAAATTAAAGTTTACATTATTAAGTAATGAAAATTTTTTTAAACAACTTAATAAAGGACATAACTATCTTGTGTTGGTATTTTTCTACTGTATTAATATTTCATGACTACTTGTAATCAACGAATACTTGAATCGAAATACTTGAATAATGGAATGGAATACGTGTATTCCGTTCAATCAATCGATTTAGCGCGGGAGTTTTCCCATCACTAAATAGTTCTTGTGACGTCATGGTGGATACATAAAATGTGACACGCTCGGTTTTCATACAAATTGCTGTACTTGCGGCGTCTATCTAGATATATGTCTGTGATGTCAAGTATGAACATCGAGTACATAACCAGAAATAGAGACGAAATGTCATTTAATTTGTTTGAAAACTATTCTGCCATATCATTACTTTGACAACTGAGCTCCGATTGGCTAGCCCGAGTTCGAAACAATTGACGGGTGTCGTCAATGGACACCCATTTCAACTGCTTCACATCAAATCGACCAGTTAACTTGAGCTTTGCTACAATGGACGAAAATCGCAAATTTACATATTTAATAACCGATGAAATTTGATTCCGTTTATTTTATAATTAGATGTTTTGCTGTTTTTCCCCACACCACTGAATGAAACAGCACGCCATTGTTAGAGATATTATCTTTATTACAATAAATACAGAATATTTTTGGAATATACAGAGACAATAGAGCTCCTTGTGAAAGAGTTCGTCCAGGGAAGTACTGCCACCTTACCTATTTCTGCTGCCAAGCAGTAATGTCAGCATTAATGTGTTCCGGTTTTGAAGGGTAAGGGTGCTGGTGAAATTACGGGCACATGGGACTCAACTTATGTCTCAGGGTGACGGGCGCAGTGGCAGTGCCCCTTAGATCTTTGTGATTTAAAGCGCTGAGTGGTACTGCAACTGTTATGGACAGGCGTGTAGCTTACCATCAGGCGCACGGCTTGTTCATCCCGTCACTTGATATTATAAAAAAAAAGAAACGTACACACATGTCAGTTGTTGGCGCTGTCTACATTTCAATGTAAACGAGATTTGATATTTATGAGTGATGTATCACTGAAGAGTTACCAGGAATGTACTGCCCTTATTTCGTCTCTATTTCTTGTTATATACTCGATGAGTATGAAGCTTCATTTGCATCATGCGTCTTTTTAAGGTGATCGAGTATTACTTATTAATATTTGATAGTATAATAATAATAATAATAAAAATCACCACTCACTCACATCCCCTCACAATACCACAACCGAACCAGAATACTTGTCTTAGGCCTGTACCTGGTTTCAAATATCCGACCTTCAGTCGAGTACAAGAAAAAATCTTAACGTAATAATAATAATAATAATGATAATAATAACGCACACACTCAACATAGCCCCGCACTAGGGAAACCCTGTGTCGCGGGTGCCATGGACACACACATAGACAACCACAAATTACATCCAAACTCACAAAGGAAATAAATTAATGTAAGCCATACACATATTTCTCCCGGCCTGGGAATCGAATCCAGGACCTCTGCGTGTCAGTCCGGCAAGGTAACCGTTCGGCCACGGAGGCAGTAATTATTTCGGACGGAGAACGAGAGCACAGAGCTATGCTACGTATATAGGTAGGTATAAATAGGTAGACCTTACCTATTTCTGCCGCTAAGCAGTAATGTTAGCATTTGTGCGTTCCGGTTTAGCAGGGTAAGGGTGCTGGTGAAATTACAGGCACAAGGGACTTGTCAACTTATGTCTCAGGTGACGGGCGCAGTGGCAGTGCACCTCAGATATATTTGCGATTTAAAGCTCTGCGTGGCACTGCAACTGTTATGGACAGGCGTGTAACTTACCATCAGGCGCACAACTTGTTCATCCCGTCACTTGATATTTTTTTTAAAATGGTACTTAAAAGTTTTTAATTTCCACAGATGCATATAGCGTTGTTCACGGTATCCCACCGTAAGTCCCTATGGCAGCACCACGACCACTACCTGCAGATGGACGGAAGGGGAGGGTATGTCTTTGAAGAGATCGACAGCGAAACACAGGAGTTCGGATCGTGATCTATTTCATTGCAAAATTAAATTATCCTATTCATATCCTATATACTCAAAAGAGGTCACAAATAAAAAATTATCTCTAGAGAATTCATTAAAAAACGTGTTCGCCGAGTTAGTCGTTCTCTCTAATATTTTGCTTAATGGAGATATGAACCGAAAATATTTCGACAAAAATGTCTGATTCCAGTTGAAAGAAGTTGATTACGACTTCACGCATTAACTGCAAAAATGCCGTCAATCTGTTCACAGCCTTATAAATATTATAATACGTCATGACCGTATGTTCTATACGTACTTTTAAGTACATACCTCGAGTTCCATAAGTAGGTACGTGTCTTACAACGAAGGTACAGTCAAGAGCACATCAAGCTTGACAATTTGAACTTTCGATCGCTCTTATCGCAATTTTCACAGAGTTGACTTTAAGGCGAGGTATTTCAACGTGAGCCTACATTTTAGGTGAGATTAATATGAATAAAATAAAAACTAGCGGAGAAATTTTTAAACAGATCCGAAACCGGCAAGCGCCCGCGGAGCGGCGCGCGTGTCTTTACACTGCTGGACAGTTTTTAAATTTTGGCATAAATTGGAATTTAATAGGGGGCTTCGTTGAAAACAAAAATTTAGCAGTTTTTCTGTAGTACTTAAAGAGAAATATCTCCATTTAAAAATTATGTGCAAATTTAGATATTTTATTCTTGAATGATTCGTTTTACACTTAATTTTAGCCTGTTTTTGGTATTTCATATTATGATCGAGTAGAGTACATCCTATCATATAACAGATTAGCACATTCTTTAGACAATATCCTCAGGTGCAACGTATATTTTTTGTGAGACCGTTATTTAATAGTATATGAACAAGCTGATCTAGCAAAACAATTTATCCCGCTTCTTCTCCGGTGCCTCGCCTTAAATGTTAAGTGTCGATCTTTAAACGCTATTGAGTCTGTTTTTTGCATTGATTTTTTTGTAAATTAAAAAAATAGAAACTTAATTATTTTTGTAACTATATTTCAGAATTAGACAACTTGTTACAAGCGAGGCATTATATAGACAATTAGATATCTGCGCGAATTTTACGCCTTATCGATTTATGGATCTCCTCTTCGTCCAAAAACGAACGAACCTGTTAACTAACATGGCCAACATCGCGAACACATTCACTAATGAATTATCTTTAATGTGAACATTGTTGATCCCTTTTTAGTATTTTCAATTTGATTGCACATAATATATTCTTTTTTTTTATTATTTCAAACGTAAGTGTGCATTTGACCTCCATCTCACCTGATGGAAAGTGACGATGAGGTCGACGATGGAGCAATGCACCTTGAAAAGTTCAAGTCATAAAGTTCAGGAAAAAAGTCTGCAGGCAGAGAATTCCACCCCATAGCCGTTCGCCATACAAATGTGGAAGCGTAACGCTTCGTGCGAATCTTCGGAATATCCACAACATAGGGGTGGAACCCAAGCCTACGCCTAGTCCCCCGATGATGGAAAGGGGAAAGCGGAATTAAATCGTATAATTCCATCGCATACTCTCCGTGATATGTCCTGTAAAATACCGATAAACAGGCAACTTTTCCCATGTAACACAAAATGTAATTCGTATATGTTTCATCACAGCATATCTTTTGTATAAATGATAATTAAGTAATATTCTTAAGGGAATATTAGATTGTATGTTTGACATTTGGATATTGTACGGTTAGCCACAGCACAGTTAAAGTTGTACAAACTGTTGAATACGTAATTTACATCGAGTTTAAATTTGCCGTTTAAAACAGTCACTGTATAGCTTGACGTGTGGCTAAGTGTACCTATTATGGACATTGAGTTCATCATCTAGATTAAGGTGAAATTCGTAAATTTACATAGAGGGTGCCTGAGTAGAATTGAAAAAGAATTTTTAAGTTCTAAATCTCTATTTCGTAGGTAAGTTAAACTTGAAATCGTCTGAATGATAAAATACGAACGACAACTGTGGCGTAATGCAAAAAGAATACGCAAGTTGATGCTCTTTGTAAATAGATTTTTTTTCCACACTTATCACTTTTAATATGTAATGTTAGAAAATCTGAGAAAATTAACGTTGGTGTAACGAAACACTTCATATATTTGTGAACAATGAAAATGAACGTTTCTTCGCTCTTTTAATAATCTATTTCAGTAGTAGATAATTAATATATATTTCTTTGTAATACAAAAGATTTTAAATCTATGTACAATTTATCGAACTAGCATATTATATCAAATTCTTAGGTAAATATACCTAAAATACATATACTTATACCTCTTTATTATGTGGTCAGACCACAATATTTTTTCAATTGCCTTAGATAACATAGAATAAATACACGTAAAATAAAGATAGTCCTGAAAATGGTAACTCCAATACGAAAATAAATTTAATGTTCCATTATTGTGGAGCACCGTTATACGTCTTTTTATTTTGTTTTGTTTGTGATATCAAATGTTGAATATATGAAATGCGAAATTACGTGCAATGTAGAAATAATATTCTAGTTACCAATATTTTTTCTAACCTTCATGGATGGTCATGACAACTCAATTTGTTTTGTGCTTTCTACATAATCATTCCAAGCATTGTTAGTTGTAAGATCTATTTAGGACAACAAATATTCAGTTAGTTATTATGATTTATTATGTATTTACATTTTGTGTTAGTGCCAATGTTTTTGTGAATGTTAAAAAGGCTATTAAATGTTTATCATAATATTATTGTAAATGGATTGAGGAATAAAGTACCTTGTATAGAGTGGTGTGTTACAGGTATTATGGTACCTAATCTATGATTTCAGAATATTCACAACTTTCATTTTTTTATTCTTGTATTTATTTAGGGGCTTTGATCGTTATTCAACATGTCAGCCCCATTCGAAAAACAATACCTCAAGAAAACAGTTAATAAAATCCAGACATAGAAATAAAAATACTACTTAACCAAACTTGTATACAAAATCTATTGCTAGTAAAACGAATGTTCCTTGTAGTACACCATTCTGTTTATGATATGTCAGTCGCTGTGATAGACGTTAAGTTTTCTTGTTCTTATTGAATGGAGGGTGCTGGGGGTAATAAAAGAGGTTGAGGACATCTTTGTGTTTTTTTTCTTCCTATATCGCCAGGGGTTAATTTAATTTGTCTGCAATCTAGAGAAGGAAAATCTCATAAAGAATTAATCGCATAAAGTATGATTGTATCTGCCACATTTTTCGTCAACTCTTTTACATTTCGCGCGCAAAGCCACCACGGCAGGCGTCGTATGACGTCATAATGACGTAATTTCTATTTGATAACACAATTCCTTTATAAGCATAAGTTTTTCTGCGATAGTTATTTATTCTAGAAAATGATATTGAAAATCCTTAGTCATTAATTTTATTTGTCAAAACTGTCTTTATTTTTCATCTTTACACAAGTAAATCTGATCAAACAAACAAGATGAAGAAAAACACTGATTACAAAATATTTTGAAACCGAAAACGGAACGCAAATGATCATCGCTTCGCATCAGCTGTTGTAGAAAAAAAATAACGGGATATCGCGAATGAGACTGGTCACACCGACGGCCACATCAAAATCTGGGGGTCTGGCGTGTGACCCTGTTATTTCTATCCTGCAATAAAATAGCTGTGTAATCTAAAGATAAGTGGTGTGCCTGTGAAACAGTGCTATTTGCAAATTGTAGTGTAATTCATGTTGAAAATATGGAGCGTGCGACTGGAACTGAGGTGTACGACGGGTGTGGCTCGCCCCAAAGCACGGACATAACGCTGAATATACAAACGACAACGGGTGGGAATTTCACCATTAGCCTGAACGGTAAACACACGGTGGAGCACCTTAAAAAGCTAGTTTCGAAGAAATTGAAGGTGTCGAAGGACAGGATATGCCTGCTGCACCGTGAAAGGTGAGTAGACGCCAAGCTTCTATTGTCAAACAGAGTACGGAAATGTTGCGTCGATACGATGACGCATCCGCGTTGTTTGCGAGTGGAATGTGTACAAGCAAGTGTTTTGTCGACAGGCAATTGCGGGATGGCACGTTGGAAGAGAACGGGCTCCTGGATGGGGCGCGCGTCATCCTTCTGCCCAGCGTAGAGACGGGCCTTCTGGTACGTCATGCACCTCGCGTTTCACAACTCGCTACACCTCAAGTCACGTGTTTCATAACAAATGTGAAATCTATCATTACACATTTATCACTAACATATTGTCATTGTTAGCTAATTAAGTCTCATTAACCTTAATCAAATTGTTCACAGAGTCAAAGATCAGAAAATTCAGTAATGCAGGCCCTGGAGTCCCTCAATGATACACAAGTGAATGATTTCCTCAGTGGAAAGTCGCCCCTAAATCTCACCATGCGGCTAGGAGACCATATGATGTTGATCCAGTTGCAACTATCCACACTTAGTTCTGGTGCTTCAAGCAGTTCCCGGTCATTGAGAACCTCCACACCTGCAAAAAGTTCCACATCTTCAGTGCGTACCAGATGTGATGTCAGGGACACTCCAAGCCCTCACAGCTCTCCACACAAGCCCCTACATAGTGAGGACACTCCAGCAGATACTGAAAAACATAAACAAGATAATCCAACTCACTTTGTCCATAAGCGGGACTTAGAATTGTTGCAAAATGCTTTTGATTTATATCGCACCATTACAGAAGGTGAAGACAGTTCTGAACCAAGTGAAGAGAAAAATGAATCCATGGATACCTCAAACTGTACTGCTTCAGATATGTCAGACACATCATTGGAAAGTGAGCAGTCTCCTATTAAATCTTTATCTAATTTGGTGTCTAGTCCTATTGATGCATCAGCTTCACAAAGCAGAGAGCCTGCCATTACTAATGCTGTCAGAATTAAATCTTTGTCCGATTTGTTGCCCCCTCATTTGCTGTCTCGCCCAATTGACACATCGGCATCAGAAAGCAGAGAGGCTACTATCACAAATGCTGTCAAAAGTAATTTGATAGAGTTGTTGTCAAGTAATAACAAACTAAGTAGTGAAGTGATTCCTTCCACAAGTGCCATCAATGACAAACAATGTCCCTCCACCTCTTCCCATACTCCTGACAGTTCACTCAGTGATGATAGTGACAATTTTACTGACCAGAGTTCATTTCTCACTGAGAGTACCATAGATGAGTACCCCATGGAGAATCTCTTCAACAGTGCTGTAGACAAAGGTCTGTTCCAAGACCAGTGTGAAACTATGATGGACAGGGAGATATCAAATTTGGCTACTACCAGTTATGGCCAGGAGTCAGCCTCGGGTTCACTGCCATCTTTCCAGAGTATAAATGAGCCTTTGAAAAACAAGCGCTTCCAGTATTTACTCCATAAAACCTCTAAATTCAAACATCCTATAGGTCAAAGTAAACAGAAGGCTTTCATGCAATCTGTTGTGAATAAGCACAAGAAGCGCATGCAGATTCGACAGGAGAGCAATCTAGCACAGCCTTCAACATCTAGAACAGAGCCCTATATTACCAATACAAGGAAACTTGTCTTACAACCAAGCCCTAATCATCCTAGTACAAGCAATGAAAACACAGACGACTTGGCAACTCCTTCCACTTCAAAACAGGTTTCATTCAAAACGCCAGAAGCTCCAAAGAAGCCTCAAAGAGCATTAGTGGCGCCCGTCGTTGATACAAAAGCTCTTATAGAAGCATCAAAGAATTTAACTCAGAAGTTAAAAAAACTGTCTAAAGAAGTTCTATTGAATAAGATTGATCTCAAGACTGCAGAGGAGTCAGTGCGCTCGAAAATAGGCCCTGGGGCTGTGATAGAGTCCATGAAGCATCATGGAAAAGGAATATATTCAGGGACCTTTTCTGGCACACTCAATCCTGCTTTGCAAGATAGGTGAGCATTCAATATTTGCGTACTATATAAGTGTTTCTATTATAGTTTAATTTCCTATGTGTTACAATCGTGAAAACCTAAGAACTCGATATGTTTCTATTGTATTTAATTAACATGTTAATTCATATCCAGTTACAATGTTGTCATGCCTGCTCTCCTATACATAGTTTTATGTCATTGTTTGATATGTGCATAGAGCATTTGTGATGTAACCTGACAATGACTCTAAAGCCGTTAAAAAGATATTACACTAAATTAATTCTTCATTTAAAAAAACATAAGCAAATATTTTATTTTTAGTCAACATGACATGAACTTTGAAATTCCATCTTTCATAAGAGTTCTGTTATTGTTTTATCATTTATTTACATTTGTGAACTTATCAGTGCCCATGTGTAAAATTTTGTGGATTTGGATGGGATTTAAGATTACATCTCACTGTTTTGTATGTGTACAATGTATTATTACTAAAGCCTTACGTTTGTTACAGATATGGCCGACCAAAGAGAGACATTTCCACTATAATACACATATTAAATGACTTACTGTGTGCTGCGCCTCCCATTGCATTGGCACAGGTAGTGTTAGAAATCAAACTGCTTCTTACTTGTGTAATACCTCTTTATTAAATATTTTGGATATGTTTCCTAGATTATAATGTCGTTATTTTTAATTGCAGAAGGAATCCAAACATTCATGTTCTACGAATACAACTGAAGACGCAAGTAAGTGTTTAGGATGCAGTCAACCCTCGTGCTCTTACGGACAGTGCGACGGGCATCTGCCGTCGACCTCGTCGGCTGGAAAGGGCTGTTCGTGCGATCTTGGCGATTGTCAGTGCCGTCTCGATCCCAACGTCTGCCCCTCCTGTGCGGGAAAATCCATTTCAGGGGAACTATGTAAGAAATGTAATACGGCCAAAACCTTCGCCATGGAAAACTCCAAGACTAAATGCAAACTCGAGCAGCTCAGACTCGTGATGCAGCAGAAGAAGCAAAGACGCGAAGCTAGGAAGCTGAAAACCCTGCCTTATAATTCCCCTCCGAAGATTGCGTCGCCGGAGCAAACGCCGCCCATCCAGGAGGAGATTGAGACGGTTGCTTAACACGCGATCCTAATCCAACAGCTTCAGAATCACGACCGGGAGTACGAAACGCTGCCATATTGTCAAAATTTGTGATGGTCGATAAATATTTGCGACTTATACCTCCTATTAATGGATGATAAATGACAACTATCGATAACAGTAAAATACCAAAATTGAGCTAAAGTGATAATTTTCGAATTATGCCGTCGGATAAATCCCTACTTTAATTATTCAGAGGCGTTTACAAAACAATCTGGTCAGCGCAATGTTAATTTACATAGGACTTTTTCCAACGACGATGCAATTATTGTAATTTAAAACTGTTAATTCGCACGTGTGAGCAGTTGGGAAATGGTCGCGCGTATCTAAAGTCGTTACATCACGCTGTTTAAACTCTGATGAAAATTCACAATGACTGAAAATATGCAAAATGCGAATTTATGCAAATATGACTTGTCTTTTCGAAACTCCCGAAAATATGTTGAAAGACTGAAGGCTTTCTCTTTCACTGTGACGAGCCTTGTAAAGGCCCGTCTGACTTACATTTATCAGAGCGCTGTGGCTTTGGATACGTATTATGTAAGGACATTAAAACGTTCGCATTGCACGCCGGGCGTGATCCGTTTATATTCTAAATACCATTTCGACTAAGATCGGACCGTAGACGTAACTTATAAGTGCTATCATACGCATGTACAAAATACAAGATTGAATTAGCAAATCACTAGTTTTAGAGTAATTAACCAGTTAGCTCCTCCAATGTAGTTGCCTGGCGCGGCTCGACGAGTATTGTTGTTATTTTTTAGATTATATTTTTATTATTTTATTGGTTCAGTCAACTTTTGGACACTGTGTATCTAGTATAATTTTTTATTAGCTGTTGATTAATGAACATTTTGGAATTTGTTTCATAGTTTCAACTTATAAACTAAGGTATGTAACAACTGCCCCGGCAGCAAGGTTAACTGTGAAGAACGAGTATTTTTGTTTCTTCCCTTATTCTTAGAACAAGTGAATTGATTCCACTTTATTATAATTAATTGGCACTGTTATTCTTATAGTTATTTTTGTTTTCTTTCTCTCGCGGATATGTTGTTTAAAAGTAATAAATGTTTTCTCCAATACCACATTCGTTTAGTTTTTTAATCGTAAATATGGAATACCAGTATTGCAATAATGCAATTACCATCCTATCAAGATACTAGAGAGAAATCTTAGAGCTTTGTAAATAGTAAATATGCCACTCTTTTTATAGTATATAACTGCTTTGAAAGAGCCTGTATAATGATGGCTATTGCCAGGGTTATTGTAAGATACATCTGTGAATACTACATTTTCCTGTATAAAGACGTAAGGAAATTCATGAGAGATCTATAATACTGTTTGTCGCTTGAAATTTCCATATGATTGTGGTCGACCGGAAATTCATTTACCTTCAAATGTAATCCACTAATTATTGTATGGACAGAATAACAGTTTAACTGCATTAAGTTTCATGTCTTCCGTTGTTATTCGCTTCAAATACGTAAGTTCCATTGGGAACCGATTTGGGAAATTTTAGTTGAATTAAAATATAAAAGTAAAGTGGAAATGTATTGATGTTAATAGAAATACGTTGGTAATTAGTATATAATCCGTTTCTGATTCAAAACTAATTTTACAGGTTTAAAATTGGTGCTATTCCTTCCAAACTGATAGAAGTGTGAAAAGGATAGCAATAAATGATAGTGTTTTTTATGAGATAAATAAAACTTTACATTCATTTTACTCCTGAATACGAACATCGTTATTTTTTCTATATTTGAAATTTTACACAAAGCGGTTTGAAACTTTTTGCTGCCATTTTATTTTTTTCAAAATGGCTGCATATTTATATATAAAATAATTTTTATATAAGTATATTGGTTAAAAACATAGATTATATACTAAATCTATGGTTAAAAATGTTTAGTGCAAAGTAAATGTTAGTGCCACTACGGTTTTAATATTCTTGTATACATCAGTATGTCAGCGATTTGATTTATCTTGGATTTATGTCGCCATTTTGAAGTGTTCTTTTGTAACACAGTTATGTAAAATGTTCGGCGTAAAGCCAGTCAACGTTATACATGAAATCTAATATTCGTATTCACGTGTAGAATGATCCTGAATATTTATTAGACATTCTGAAACACTAGATCTTTAATCTTAGTTTTAGAAATTTGAAAAAAGTCGATACTGTTTATTGAACACGAGTACAATCCAGCAAGTGCCTATAGATGTTAGGTGTTGTGCCATGTCACCTTTACTCTCAATATGTTAGTTTGATCTCACTGTGTCACCTCAAAAAATAATTGTACCTAATTACTTAGAAAATATTTCTCTTGTACAGATTATGAAAGGTACGTACAACTAAGTTCTTGCTCTACCCTCATTCGGAACTTTATTTTGTTTTGAAATTTCGAAATTTAATTAACTAAATAAAAGTTGTGTGTGTAAGTTTTTAAAATAATAAAAATGGGTAGATTAAGTGTTTTGAGTTGGACTGCATTGTTTCCGTATTAATCCACACACGTCTCACGAGTCCTCTTTTATGGAGACTATTGAACTGCTTTAAAAAAATTCAGTTGTGGAATCACCATCTTGTATAAAACATTTTAAAATTCCATTTTATGCACACCTATGCATTTTATTCATTATTTTGTACTCTTATTTGTTACCAATCGTAAGGAAATTAGCCCTATATAAAAGGTTTTGTTAATATTTTGATGGGAGTAGCGTTGTTTTGTCTTTGTATTTAGCATATATTTAGTGAGAAAAATTAATTAAAAATATAACAGACTACTCTGTAGTTTTTATAAACTAATCCCAAGTAGTTAAAGAAAAGAAATAGAAACATTATAAAATTCTTAAATTTATTTACTGATTCTGTCATGTGGTAGAATGAACTAAACTACCTATCACATAGTATAAATTATTCTGATCGGTCCAATGGAACGCCATACGTGCTCGATATGCAGAAAAACAAAATTCACAACAAATATAAACTAATATTAGTTTATTACAATGTCTTTTACAACTCGTTGAAAATCCAACATGAACTTAAAACGAGAATTAAGTTTTGTAAGGTAATCTTAACAATGTTGAATCGATAAACTTAAGAACTAATAACAAGTTTTATATAAAAAATGCTTTGCGGACACCGGGATTTTTTTAAATGTACAGAATAGAAAGAATCGACAAAACTTATACTGCAGCTGTGACATACAGGTAGACACCAGTTAATTTATACTGTACCCTGAAAATTCGACCGTTTATTATTAATAGGCACTAAATTCAATTTAAACTTCCAAACGGCGAACAAACAAATAAATGACAACAAAATTTCACCACAAGAGCGTTCGAGTGGCACGTTTAGTTTACCACAAATATATAAATTTTGCCGACCCGAGGACTCGATAAAAACAACGTCTGTACTTGTCGTAAATTATTTTATTATAAAGTTCATCTCATATAAATAGCACATAACCCACACACGCGATCCACGCACACAGTATACGACTACAATGCCGCTAGACACCGCGACAAATTGAGAAATGCCCAGCGGCACTATGGCCGGACGTTCTATAGTTAGATTTAGAACAGAAGCGTGCTCATGCCGCCCATCTCCGCCTGTTCCTTGACGAAGATCTCAAAGTACTGGTAGATGATAGTGACGGCCAGCAGGATACCCGTGCCGGAGCCAATGGCGCCTAAGAAATCCGCTAATACCGAGAGGGCGCCGATGCAAAGCCCTCCGAACGCAGCAGCGGTGGGAATGTACCGATTCAGTTCGTGGATCATGGAGTTGTCACGATGACCACGCATCACCATCTGCTGCTCTTTCAATTGTTTCGCCACCTGCAAAAAAAACATTGTATTAGGTTAACAAATACTACAATATGAATAACATAAAAAGTAGTCCACGTTTGAAAAGCTATAAAATAGACGAGTGCCTTCGGTGGTGGATATGTCACAAGGGACATTCTGTCGTAAGGGAAAATGTCCCTTATGACAAAACGATCCTGAATATTATAAAGTATAGACGCGGGAAAATGATTGGACGTTTGATACGACACGACAACTTCTTTAAGACCATTTTGGAGGGAAAGATTGAGGTCGACTTAGGCGCAGTTACATAGACCAAATAAAGGAAAAGGCCGGTGTCTTGTCGTATAAGGAGTTCAAGGAGCTGGCTTGTAGGAGAGATGACTGGAAGTGGCTCCACCGACAAGAGTGTAACTCTTAAATTGATGATGATGACAAAATATCTCTTTAAAACTTTTGGATTTCCACCGTCGATGTAAGGGTAATAATTTTGCTGATGTATCACCGCGCGCTGTTTTAACGCATCGTGTATCATCTCCCTTATTGTACTTAGATGTTGGCAAACAGCTTATCTCGCTGGCCAATATAAAATATGGGTTCAAAAAGAGACTCTTTTGTTTAAATGATGAATGCGACAATTGGATTCATCTTATAGTTGAATAGATTTTCTTAAAAATAGCATTGAAATGAATCGATACAATAAATCGCTAGATCACATAATCTTCAAAAAAGTCGAATCGTAATTTGCATCCCTATGTCCATGGCACACGTGACACAGGGTTTCCCTAATGCGGTTCTACGAGTGTGTGCATTATTATTATTATCTATTTTAGACTCTCGCCTCTGAAAGATAAATTTTGAATTTTTACTATTATAATTGTGACTGCAAAAACGGCAGGCGCGTGTCATGACAGTGGCGCCGCAACTGCGCGTCTTGAAGGTGTCCTAACTCTAATCACTTTCTTTTCCTTGCGTCTCATTCGTTTACCGAAAAAAGGGATTTTAAAGGAGTAAACGTCTTTTGTGTCGTAACCAACACTAGAAAGCTTTTTCGTCCTTTTTTTTGATATCCAAATTAATGCTGATCGAATGACGGAAAGCAGTGAAGAATTTCCCTAAAACTGACTGAGTGACTGCTTGATTTTAAAGTTTTCCAATTATTATTACATTGCGTGGTATTATGAAATGCTTACATCCTTAGCCGAAGATCCAGAAACATCGATCCAGGTCTTGGAGAAGAAGGCGCAGGAGCCCAACATGAAGATGATGTAGAGTACAGCATGCACTGGGTCTTGTGCGATGTGAGACAGGGACTCCGGCGGGCTGAAGTAGTAGCAGAGGCCGCCCACAGGGTAGGCGCGCGCGGGGCCCCCGCCGCCTACGTCCGCCCACACGCCCAGCAGGTTCACGAGGAAGTTGCCGCTGAACTTCACAGCTAACATCTGTCGAAGATGGAGAGTTTATGAATAAATAATAATCTCAGTACAGAGTACTAAAAAACCGACATCAAAAGTCCTCCTAGTTTGCCATCCTTTGAGGTGGAATACTTTCTTCAAATTTAAATGAGACCTCTGAGGTACGTTGTCCAGCAAAAAAAGAATTCTCAAAATCGGTTTACAAATTATGAGGAGTTATGGCGTAACATACATACAAAAAAACAGTCGAATTGAGAAACTACTCCATTTTTTAAGTCTCCTAAAAAGTAGCATAAAGAAAGAGATATATAAAGGATGTCTCGAACTCCTTGTTCTAAATTATTTTTCTATTCTTGTTTTTCCGATGTTTCAATAGTCACTGTGTCGTGAATTATATTTTGAGTTTCATCCATATTTGTGCTCATTTTTTTGGTTTCTTACTACTGAGTCACAGGTCAACTTGGTAATAGCAATGCTACGGTGCAGCATGGTAGCGGGTTTAAGTCTCACCATCTTGTATTAATAATCATAGCCTAATACAAAGTTATTACTTTTAAATTGTTAACTTAAGTAAACCTTAATAATTACTTCAGTAGCTGCTGAACAAAGTTACGTCTATAAATATTTGTGTATATATACATTTTGCTTTTGAATGCACGGTATTCATATCCCATAACAGCATACACAACAATAATAAATAATTTGTTCCGTAATTTGTTCTCATTGTATGCGAATAATTAATCATTCGTCATTCATTCAATCATTAAAAAAAATTAAAAAGAGAGTTTAAAAAAATATACACACATCAAAAGTATCTAGGGATCAAGTTCTTTTCTTATTTCATTTCCCTATTAAAGTCAATTAAAAAATCTATACATACAATTTATTAAATTGACCAAAAACAAAAATCAAAGGTGTTAAAAAAATAATTTAAAAACCTGATTTTGAGTAATTGGTATAAAATACGTTTAGTATTCAATCCCACACGCTTTAGATGAGTGTATATTTAAAAAGACACTATTACATACCTGTGAAATGACGTAAAGATTAGAGACAAGAGCAGATTGCAGGATGATAGGAATATTGGAGGTATAGAAGAGCTTGATGGGGTAAGACGAATACTGGCCGCGGTACCGCGCGGATTTTATAGGAAGGTCCACGCGGAAGCCCTGAAACATAGAATAACTTTAGTATTGGAGATTTTAATTACTAAGCCCACTAAGCTTAGAACATAATTACGCAGGATGTTTGTATTGCACCCTCAATAATAAAGTAACCTAATTAAAAAAAGGAATATCTTGGAGATTGACAAAATAATTTAAAAAAGTTCATAATAAAGCCAATATATTATTTTTTCACAACAAATAGGATATTTAGCACAAGCAAACGGCACACATTTAGTTGTGCCAATGCCGCGCACATTTATTTTTTAAACCTGCTTGTTAGTTTTACAAAAATGTTACTTTTCGAATGTCGTTGCTTTTATTATTGAACGTGAGATAATAATTTTTCACTATATTTTAGTTGGTTCTTCTCAAACTATTTTCTTTTATGATACTAAGTGACAGGACGAACAAGTCGTGCGCTTGAATGTAAGCGACACGCCTGTCCATAACTGCTGCAGTACCACTCAGAACTTTAAATCTCAAGGATTTGAGAGACACCGCCGGCGCAGTGGCGGTCACCCTGAGACATAAGTTGCAAAATTCCACATGCCTGTAATTTCACCAGTACTCTTAGCCCTTCAAAACCGGAACGCAGTAATGTGCATTACTGCTTGGCGGCAGAAATAGGTAAGGGGCAGTACTACCTTGGACGAACTGTTTCACAAGGAGCTCTAAATAATCTTAATTCATAGGCAAGCAAATTACACTTGAAATTGTCATGTTGATTACATTGTTCTGTCATGAGACAGATTTCCCTGAAGAAATGATTATTAAACTCTGATGTGTAACTAAAAATTACTTTAAAGGGTAGTATACTCAGAAGGACAGTCTTGTGTTGACGACTTCGGTGTACCAACGGTTTAGATGAGAAGGTCCGGGGTTCGATTCCCGGTAGAACCAATTTAGGAAATAAATTTTTCTTAATTGGCTCTGGGTCTGGGTGCTTTGGAAAGTGACTTGGAGTGAATTTCGCTGCTCTGGTACTCAAAGTACAGGATTTTTCCTAGTTTGAGACCAGTTGTCCATTAAAATATTTAAAAAAATGTAAATAAAACCATTACAACATTTTGTTTTAATTACTTGCCTTTTTAATTTTTAAAAGGTTGAGCAAATTTTTTTTGCCTAATCTGACTGGGTTTATAATATAATACTCTAACCAGATCACACTTAGAATTACTTAAAAAACCCTGTTTTGTCACAATCTATCTCCCCAGAGTACAGCACTCCCTAAAGAACACATAAACCAAGTGAAGTGATGAATAAGCACCTGGAAGTATATGACGATGGCGAAAACGAGAACTGTGGCGAGCAGGTTCATGAGGTTGGGCAGGTTCTGGCGATAGAAGGCCTCGCGAAGAGCGCGCACTTTGTCCGGACGAGTCGCCAACAGGTGGAACAAGGCTATCACTGCTCCTTCGAACTCTGTACCACGACCTGTGTATGTTAAGACAGATGTTTTTAAACGTATTTCCCATATTCTGATCCTTTTTTGGCAAATTTCAAGTAAACTATTTTAAAAGCTATTAACATTTAACTACACTTTAAGTAGAGTAAATAAACGGTACAATCAAGAGGGGAGACCAGGAGACCTAAGTAACACACAAGGTATCCTAGTTTAGGCTCCTGTCTCTCACAAAATTGAATACTGAAACTCTGTACTGTTAATAATACCTATCTGATGTGAGAGAAAATAAAATAAATTATTATTGAAACTATTTTTGTTTTTTCAAACAAACCAACATTTCAGTCCCTTTATATGTCCCATGGTCATCGTTGACTGAGGTGGTCAGTGTAGTGCTCTAGGTTTGCTTGGTGTGCTTAGGTTTTCGCGATTGTTACACACAGGAAATGAAACTATTGTTTCGGATCTAAATTGCGCATATTTGTTAACAAACCTACGTTTCGGGCCCTTTACAGGTCCCATGGTCACGGTTGACTGAGATGGTATAGTCATCAACCAGTTATGTCTAATATTAATGGCAGCCACCCTTTTTAACTAATTTACTAAACACCCTATTTCAATAGTGAAAAATCTCTTTGAATTAGATTATTATTTGACATTTATCACTTTCTAATCCTTTAGAAATAAATACATATCTAGGGCACAATGAAAGGTACGAAAATTACATATACAATAAAAAGACGAAGAATTATTTCAATGTCATCACTTACCAGTGTTAACGGTAGCTGGTGAGAATGCTTTCCAGACGATGGTCTCACAAATGTTGGTGGCGATGAACAGGGAAATACCAGAACCCAGACCATAGCCTGCAAATTATTATGTTCGTTTAGCAGAGTTGTCACACCATATTATTGTACGTGTTGTTGCATAGCATATTGTATCTTCCTGCTGATCATAGACCTTCTCTAAGGGACGATCAAAGTGATAAATTTCTTATATCAAATTATAATTATGTTAGCATGATGTAAAATAAAACGAGCTAATCGTAGCTATGGGTTGGTATCATAATGACTATATTTTAAAAACGACCTGATCAGCATAAGGACTATCTAGTCCTTTGTGATCTCGCAAAACTAGCACCTCTGCAAAAAGACTAAACTTACAATGACTTGGTAGCAAAACACACTAGATATCAAAATGACCAAATTCGTTAAATGGACCACATGGTAAAACAATAAGGTAACAAAACAACTAGATTTTGTTATTGTTTTTTCAAAATACAGTTTGGTTTAAAACGGCCGACATTAAAAACGAAAAATTATTGTAAAATAAAACTATAATCCTCTTATTAATTTTTTTATATATATAATAATCAATTGACGGAACGAACAATATTTATAATATCTCCAGTATTTTTTTTACAACATACTAAAGTCTGAAATAACAATTTCAAATAGAAGTTTGCCAAATTAAAAAAAATATTGTCACGTTATTCTAAGGAGAACTAGATTTCGCGTGTTAAGGCCCATTTAGATGGGGAGAGTTTCTCGCACGCTTCGTGACGAAAACTCGTAGGCGATTATCGTAAGCAATAATCGCCATAAGATTATCGTATCATAATGTTTACATTCAGGCAAGAACTAAAATCTCGCCTACGATTATGTCATACGAGATTCGCAAGCAACTTAATCGCCTCCTCGACTGTTTATACGGAGAAATATGTAGTAAGGAGATTCTTGCTTACGAGTTTTCGACTTGTCTAAACACGATCTCGTATGACATTTTTTCAAGTTCATACGATTATCGTATAAATCGGTTCGAACCGTTTTGAGTGCGAGAATTGCCATTCGAGTTCAGTGATTACTGCGGTATGACTATGGATATATCAAAATGATGCAAAAACCATTCAAATTTGAAACTGCTGATAATATTAAGTTCATTGCACTGTATAGAAATATAATTTTGATTTATCATTTTTTTTTAAATTTTATAATTACTGACACAAACAAAAACTGACAATTATGATAAATTTATAGGGCGAGTGAGTGCGTGAGTGACTGAGTGAGTGAGTGTGTGCGTGCGTGAGTGAGTGAGTGAGTGAGTGGTGAGTGAGTGAGTGAGTGGTGAGTGAGTGAGTGGTGAGTGAGTGTGTGAGCGGTGAGTGAGTGAGTGAGTGAGTGAGTGGTGAGTGAGTGAGTGAGTGAGTGAGTGAGTGAGTTAGTGGTGAGTGAATGGGTGAGTGAGTGAGTGAGTGAGTGAGTGTGTGAGTGGTGAGTGTGTGAGTTGTGAGTGAGTGATGAGTGAGTGAGTGGTGAGTGGTGAGTGAATTAGTGAGTGAGTGAGTGAGTTGTAAGTGAGTTGTGAGTGAGTGAGTGAGTGGTTAGTGAGTGTGTGACTGGTGAGTGAGTGTGTGAGTGATGAGTGAGTGAGTGGTGAGTGAGTGGGTGAGTGAGTGAGTGAGTGAGTGAGTGAGTAAGTGGTGAGTGAGTGAGTGAGTGAGTGAGTGAGTGAGTGAGTGAGTGAGTAGGGAGTGAGTGAGTGGGGAGTTAGTGAGGAGTATTTATTGAAAAGTCGTGTCGGCCATCTTGGATTTAGAAATAAATGCTATGTTCGTAATGAGCACCTCCAAATACCTCAAAAACGATAACCAACTTGCCATTATTTGTAAAGTGCGGGCACGACTTTTCATCCTGGATTTAGAAAGGAGTGCCATATTCGTTGCGAGAGCACCCTAAATACTATATTGCCCACGCTATATTCGACCACAGAGGCACTTACTCATTCACCGTTATTTGAATTTTTTTTTTCGCCCTCGTTCCATTAATTCTTGTCTTAGAAAAGCAGTGATAATCAAAACACCCTCGCGCACTGCACTCGTGGTAGAAACGGCTGGCACAGAAACTCGAAATACGATTTTTGCTTTCGAGTTCTGTTTACACGGAGACGTTCAATATTGAAAGGCGAGGAGATTATCGCTCACGTGGACGGTCGATAATCGCGAATGTTTAGACGAGGAAAGTTTTTTATATTCTTTCGATAATCGCATCTTCGAGACGAGAAACTCTCTCCATCTAAACGGGCCTTTAGGCGTATAGATAAAGATATAATATATCGGCACGCTAAAAAACTCGTTAAATTAGAAGCACTTTTACATAATACGCGTTAACCTTGATTATTATAAGAACTGATTATCGAAACGTGGCACAAAGATAAAAATATTTTTAATATTGAGTATTTCAGAAGCTCGTAAGCATTTTCAGTGTTTTTGTCATTATCAAATCATCTACGTTTTCGAAATCCATCCAAACTTCAAAAATTCAATATTTCAACTCTGAACACCAGGCTGAATTTCATGATTAGACCCCTGTGCGGTATTGCATAAAAACAACCTTCATAATTGTCAAGGAAACATACCTTTCTGTAGGAGTTCATCAAGAAGCAGTACAATCAGGCCAGCAACGAAAAGCTGAATGATGATCAACAGACAAATGCCAGCGCCGATCTCACTGGGTTCGCCGTACATTCCCGTCATCACGTACACGATAGCTTGGCCCACTGTTATAACCATGCCGAACACTGCAAAAAGGTTTACATAAGGTTTAGGGAGACATCAACATCATTATTCAATCATTAATACAAAGATTGAACACTCAGAAAGAATTCCTTCGATCCGGTTCGAATCGAATTTTTCCTGAGTGTTCGATCTTTGTATTAATGATTACAACAAACTAGTGGAATAATTTCACAAAAAATAATTGAATATCATGTCAATAAAAATTTAAAAATCATTATTCAAGTTGCATAAATATAGAAAGAGCTATGTTGACGAGAAACCAGTATCTGGAGGATTGTACTGGTATTCAGTGTTAGCATACCTATCTTTATAAGTAAAAAAAATTACACTTGAAATTGTCATATTGATATGTACTATTAGTTCCTAAGGCAGATTCCTGCGAGATTCACTTACCGATTCTGATAAGAAATTCTAGGAGTTGTTCTTTGTAAATAAACAATTGCTCACTTTTATCATTTACGATATTTGTTTCAAATATCATAGATGGAAACAACCTGTAGCGTTAGCACAATAGGGCGCGACTTGCGCGAGAGAACTGCTGTTCTCGCATAGACATCTCGCGCTTCATGTCGCTCTCGCGCATGTCGCACCCTATCATGCTAGCCCTACCGCAAGAGTTAAATCAGTCAATACCACGGATTGTGTTGTTCAAGTACTCAGAAACTATATTAGTTTCAAATCGTTGTAAATGGCAAACTTTGAATATCAACTGAAGGCTTATCATAGTAGTGTACATTGCCCCTTAAATGAATTTGTGAAGCTGCCTTTCCAGAACAGCCAGTTCATATTATTCCTCATATTAATGATATGTCTATCACCATTTTTCATAAAAAATTAGTTTTCATTTTTGCCATAAATTACATTTTCATAAATATACTGTGATCTTAATGTAAGAATGTAAATTTCTTTAAACTTCTATTTTTTGTTATTTTATAGTTTATTGTACTGGAAATAATACAAAAATCACAATTAATACGAGGAAAATACAAACAAAAGGTCCTGCTTATTTCTAACAGACATTTCTTTCTGCAGACCTAAATCCAGAACACTACAACTAAAAGAATGGGCTAATGTGCACAACAAAAAAAATTTAATATAAAAACAATATAATAATATTAAATTATTATAAACTATATAAATACTTAGATAAATATATATTTCATAATATAATATCTAAGATATGGATGGAATAGAATTTTCACTTTAAAAATAACTAACAATTTACTTTCCAAAGCCTGACCGCATGAACAGTGTAGGAGCGAGAATAGAAACCAGAAATGAAGCATGGAAAAGATAACTGGGACCTAACAAGAGAGCGACAGGGTTTATTATGAGACCTAAGAAAGCTGAAATGCTTATATAATATATATAATAAACCGAGAAGGTTCTACAAGAGGTTTAAGGTACAATAGTGGTTGTATTTATTGTGTGTATTATTATTGTGATGACTTATTCACGGTTTGGGTAAATAGGTACTGCATTTTATACATAAATTTTAAAAGTATCTTGCTTATGTTACAAATAGTATTTAGGCTGGCAACATGCCTACACCATAAACTCAATGAAAAACATTGGCAGTCTGCCTTCACTACTCACGACTGTATAAATTTGTAAGTAGCTGTATGCCCAAAAACATTGAGAAAAGAAGTGTAGAAAGTTGGAATAATTCTATGTTATGAATAGGGTTTCTTGAGTCACAAATAATGTCAATGTTGTAAACACTGTCCTGTTCAGTAATACATATATATGCTATATTGTAGTCAAGGAATAAAATTACATTACATATTATAATTATGTATTTTGATTGGTAACTTCAAAATATACAGTTTTAGGAAATAAGTCTTTCTAAATTGGTTCTGGTGAGTCTGTTGATCTGGTGCAACATGATTAATGTGACTGACTTCAACATCATTAATTTAATACTCACATTTTTGAGCACCATTGTACAATGCCCGGTCCTTAGGAGTGTCACCGACTTCAATGATCTTGGCTCCAGCAAGGAGCTGCATAATTAAGCCGGAGGTCACAATGGGGGAGATACCAAGTTCCATAAGCGTACCCCTGTTAGACGCTAGGATCACACGGATCCAGTAGAATGGATCTGCACTGTCCGAAGACATTATACCGAAGAGGGGGATCTGAGGAAATGAATAGAATCTTCAATGATAATTCTATACTTGAGTTACATAGGTTGGTTTTGGTGATAAAAGTTTATGATTGTTGATAATTCTAGACACAATTTTTTTTAGTTATCTAAATGGAAATATGTGTAGTAGAATATAAGGTCGAACAAGCTACTTTTTACTCTGAAAATGTGGTGCTGGTACTGATATTCGACATCATTGAGAGAAATTAGTTGTTTAAAAGTCTACAAAATGCATGGAGTATTTGACTTCTCAAGGTTTACATACATAATCCATGTTAGAAATTTATACCAAGGAAAGTGTTATTCCTTTTTTTATATCAATCACAATAACTTCCTTTCAAAATATTATAGTACATTGTGTAAAAATAAAGTGAATAAATCTCATAGAAATTGAGATTACATTTGATTTATACATTGTCGACAACAATAGATACTTTTAATAATGTACTTAAATTGAAAAATGCCTTAAAAACTCGTACTTTCAATTATTCTCTTATTTTCAATTCTGTAAAAGCAATCATTGTAACAATATCAGAATTTGAACTTTAACATAACATTATTAGAGCTATATATTCTGAAATTAATAACTAACTAGCTTGGAGCATATGGAATGAGGCCCAAGCTAATGTGGCATTTGTAGTATTTGTGATAAAATCTTACCTGACAGCATACTAAGAAAATAAATAGAGTGATTGCAGTCCATAGTACTTTCTCTCGGAACTGGATCTGGAAATACAAATAATTCGTTTAAGGACCATTCGATTTGCGCTCCGACACCATTTGGACACATTTACAGTTATCTATTTGAAATATCAGAGAGAGGTTATGAATGAACTTTCACTTGATTATTAACAGTAGAACAGCTATTATGCTATCGAAAACGGTGTAGGACCCTTCTTACCACGTTAATAAACAGCTAAAAGGCAATGTGAAAAGGTAAATCTGAATAATATTAAGCAAATAAGGGTACATTTACCTTCCTTTCTGGTTTCGCTATTTCTGGCAATATACTGCAAAACGGCTTTATAATTTCGAGGAATTTGACTGCAAACACAAGAAATAATACGTTACAACACAAGTTTAACATATAAATACCCGAAATAGAATAAAAAAATTAGCAATACGTGTGCGCAAAGAATTCACTTAATACTTTAAGAAATAACTGAAATACTCACTTCCCATTTTGATTTATTGAGATTTCACTATCCTAACTAAAATATTAACTGATCAATTGGGCTAAAACCATTCAACTTTTGTTCATTCGTAACACTCCAATTGGACTTTTACGAAAATGAGCCTGCGCAACGCCGCCAACGAGCCGTCTGTAAATGACACGTCCACAACGTCATGTCACGTGACCCGTGATGTTGGCGTGTATAATGTTACCATTTTGCATACAATTTAAATTAAAAGAAAAGTAACATTTCCATTTTTGTTTCCCATGCCCATTCTCTACCTGCACGGCAGTCCACCGCGCAGGCAGGAGACTGCTTACACACTGTCCTGCGTATGGCCCTCGTATGGATTTCCGCAGGATGTATGGAGGATTGCAGGGTGGTTTGCACTCTGCGACTACATTCATAATCCTGCATTACGCTTCGGACGGCAAAGCGGACTGCAATGCAGGATAATGAATGCGCCCTTTTACTATTTTGACAATTTATTGAATTAATCATAAAGGATGGAAAACACCATATCCACTAAATCTATGGAAAACACAGGAATATAATCAATCAATGTTTCACATACATTGCTACAAACAAGTATAAATATAGCGACATGGAGTGATATAGAGTTTTTAAAACCACCAAATTTTAATACATTACAAATTCTTTTATAATTAACTAAAATTAATTACAGACAATACTACTCATCTAGGAAGTCAAAGTTGAATTTTGAAGTAATTATAATGATGCCATGTAAATGACTTTCTTTTCAATTCGGTAAACCTGCTTGGCGGAAGAAATAAGTATGGTGGCAGTACTTCTCTGGACGAACTCTTTCACAAAAAGCTCTACCACTGCTACTAAAATGATGTTAATGACAAAGATGCTAATAATGGTCATGCAGCTGATGATGCCTATATGTATCGCTCGAGAAATCGTGTTTCCGTTGCAGAATATAATATTGTTACTCTTATTAGACAGCAATATTCAATATTATATCAACAAATATTTCAATTCTCGCCTAGCCAATCCTTGTTAATCCAGACTATTTCCACCGAAGATGGGCTAGGAGAGAATTGAAATTTTGTCATACAAATTTCAATCCTTGTCTCGCCTCGTCCCGTATCACGGCGCCGTTGGAAAATCCCCTTCAGAGGATGGAAAAAAAATAGTTTAAGACCAAAGTCTTAGAAAGGGAAAAAATTATAAAGGAACTCAAGGCATATCATGATGAAATATCTCTTTTTAGATTCAGTTTACGCATTGAGTTTCATAATTATTTTGTTACCTTTTTAAGCATATGGCCCTAGCTAAAGCTCATTAATCAAAAACTTGCTTGTCCAAAGGACGGACGTATTGAGGCAGTATGGTCTTTGACCCTAGCCTGTCTTTTTTGACGAACAGAACAAAAACAACTCACGTTAACGTAACGTGAAATGTCAATTGCACAATGTCAATGTCATGTCAATGTGCGATTTCCAATTTCCATGCGGTAGTCTATTCTGTATTGGTAAATAGAGGTTTTGCGAGCAAGTTTTCATGAATTTATTACGCAAGTAACAGCAAAAATGCAGCAAGCACATCGCCCTGGAACTTTAAAACAGAGCAATAAAGTTCATAAGTCTCGTCATCGCTCAAAACGCAGTGTTACATCGGCAGTAAAAGGTTGTGTATTCACATATTTCACATTTTAAAATATTTTTTTGCAGAAATGGTTCATGTTAGTGCTTTTTAATGTATCTTTATATTCCTGCGAGACTCGGGCCATTTAGAAAGGGATGTCGTAACGTGTTAATCTATTTTTAATACTTAAAAATATGTTACTTTAACTGTGATATATAAAATTGCTACGTTTTAGGTAAAATAAGCATTAAAGATGTGGTACGCCGCAACCGCCACATTCTGAAAAAGGAAGAAAGACGTCATCAAGCGAATCAAATTCGTAAGAATAAGCGCGAAGAAGTTTTATCCAAAAAACGCGCTCTTGGTGGTGGCAGAAATCCTCCATTTCTTGTCTGTGTGGTGCCACTGAATGCCCAGCTGGATGTACAATCTGCTCTGGCAATATTAAGAACTTGTTCTGAAGGTGCTGTAGTCAGTCAGTCAGAAAATGGAATCTTGCACATTAGGTAAGCTTGATTTATAATAAATTTAAATGTGAAACAACAGATTAAAATTTTTCAAACTAAAACAAAACAAAAACTATTAGCTGTTCTTATTATGTTTTAATTAACTATGTTAGTTGTTAGGTTTTTGCGATGAATACACATGCAATAATTAATAGATTCAGGTGTTACTTTTTGGAAATCCCAGTTTTGGAATTACCCAGTGTACATTCAACTTTCACTGGGTTAACCAATGTTTCGGGCTCTTTACATGTCAGCCATTGTCAGCCATGACCATGACACCTGTAAAAAGCTCGAAATGTTGGTTTGTTTGAAGGAAAATAAATAATATATAATAGTATACACAATTTAGATTTCAAAAGATTGTGATGGATTCTTGTTTCTTCTATAACCTAATAGATAAAATTTCGGTTTGAAATTGTGGAGCCCAGTATTCTCTGTCAATGGTACAGTCACTCTGTATCAAGAACTTGGATTCCAAAACTGGAGAATAATATAATGTTGAGCAGCAGCTTTCTTTTATTATTATTATTAGTGTGCTTACTGAGAACCTTGTAGTACTTCATGCCTGTAAACAAGCTAGCTTTTGAGCTATTGCAATCAACTAATTAATACTCAAGGGTCAAGTCCCATAGAATTAAAGAATTGTAGGATTTTCTTGGCTTTAATTGACTTCCCTGGTAGGGGCATATCTAGGCTCAGCAGACTAAAGCGCATAATTACATATTTTTTTGTGTTGTTTTTAGTGTTGGAAGTTAAATAACCTCTAGAATAAAGTCCAGAATTTATGAAGTAAGAAATGAATTTGACTTATGTGCTTTAACCAGTAGATGTATTCATTTAAATGAATTTGACTTATGTGCTTTAGTCCGCCGACTTTAGATATGTTGTATTAGGAGTGAGTGAGTGTGACCCATAGACCAGTTGTTGAGTTAGAATGAGGATTTCAAAAATAAAAGGTTTTAATTTTAGCTTACCAAACTTCAAACAACGTTTCTCATTCATATGTCCTGAAGTAGACAATGACTTCAGTCTATTAGATGCCCTCAAAATAGCGGACACAGCATTATTCGTCTGCTCCGCTCTTGATGAACCAATGGATGAATGGGGTGAACGAGTCTTGGCATTAGCCATGGCCCAGGGCATGCCAACTCCAGTTGTAGTTGCCATGGACATTGAAGGGGTACATCCTAAGAAACGAACCTCAGAAAAACACAATGTACAGAAGCTGATATCGAAATGGCTTCCTGAAGAAAAAGTTATGCAATTAGATAAAAGTTCTGATGGTTTAAACTTGTTACGAAGAATTGGTAATCAAAAACGTAATGTAATCCACCATAGAGAGAAGAGACCATATTTATTAGCAGAGGAAGTTCAATATGTACCAGATACAGAAGGTCAAAGTGGCACCTTAAAAATAACTGGATATTTACGAGGTATGCCGTTAAATGTAAATGGTTTAGTCCATATCACGGGTTTAGGTGACTTCCAAATGTCTCAAATTGATGGATTAGATGATCCACATCCATTGAATTCAAAAGACAATTCAAAGCTGGACTCTATGGATGCAGAAGTAGTGAAGCGGACTGTGTTGCAAGTTGCTGATCCTGCTAAACAGGAGAGTTTGCAGTGTGAAAATGTGCCAGATCCTATGGATGCAGAACAGACTTGGCCCACTGAGGAGGACATTGAACAAGCCAATATAGAGGTAATTTGATCCTTTCAAAGCTTTTACTTCATTTGTTTTGAAGACAGATTCAGAGTACATTCAGTTTTTATTTTGTTTGTTTTTTATTATGTAAGAAATATATAATTGTAAAGTAGAAAAATTATTTTCATTAATTATTTATTCAAATATTATAAGGGTGAATAAGCTTATTCCATGTATTCATTTAAAAGTTTGTTAATTGATATTATTAGGTTTCCGAAATGTTACTGTGTAGATGGTGCGTCGGTGTTGATTGTGATTGGTCCGAACACTTTATGTACCGGTTTGTCTAGCCATTGCTTTTAAAATTCCCTACTTGCGAAAAAATGGCGGGAATTGGAAAAAAAAGGGATTTAGGAGGTAATGTCTTTAGGTGAAAGAAAAAATTGTGTGTTCGTATTTCATCAAATGTTCAAGTTATATTGGCCAGAAATTATAACGGTATTTTGTGGTTACAAATTGTGTTGAGTATATTTTAAAGTTTTATGACAAATTGTTGGAGGAATAGATAATTTAATAAATCAGTTTGGTTAATACGGCGTTTTATTGGAGCGTTTGGAAGAAGTCTACAATTATATGCATAAGATATGCTTATTTTCATCCACAACCCTATTGTTGGTATTGGAAAACGTCGATGAGGATGATAAATGCTCGCCAAGGCGATATCTGTCCACTTCAATCAGAACCATTGAAGAATGTAGGTTGTATCATGAAACTCCTTAGCTGCAAGCATAATGAATGTAGAAGCATAACACTTATTGAAATAATAGCCACATAATTGCATAAACATTTATTTACTAAATAACATGCTGCCAATATCATTGCTTTGAAGAAGTAAAGTGTTATAATTTAATAAATTTAAACACCTTTTTAATAACATGCTGTTTAATCAAAGATTCATAAAGATGTTGTTAAAAGGAATGGTTATTTAACAGACAATTTTAGTATACATAAATTGTTACTTTTAGACAAAAAACAAGAAAATGAAAAGAATACCAAAAGGGTGGTCTGACTACCAGGCAGCATGGATTGTGGAGTCTGATGCAGAGGGAGAGGGCTCCGACGATGGTAGTGAAGAGGTAATATACTTTTTTCTTTGACAACTGTTGTAATTTGTAGTGTTTGGTCTAATAATTAATGTAATGAAAAATAGTTAGTCCTATTGTATATCATCTATGAGTAACAAAGTCACATATAAAACCCCCATTGATTCCATATTATCACTGCCTCGGTGGCCGAACCGTGCCGGACAGCCGCACAGATGTTCCAGGTTCGATTCCAGGGCCGGGAGAAATATTTGTATGGCCTACATTTATTTCTCTCGTGAGTTTGGGTGGGTAATTTGTGTGTGTCTATGGCACCCGCGACACAGGGTTTCCCTAGTGCGGGGCTATGTTGAGTGATTGCGTTATATTGTAGGATGAAGATGATGACAATGAGGATTTCATGTCTTGTGAAGAAGATAATTCAGACCAGGAAGAAAAGGAGGCAGACAATGATTTTGAATCTGTCACTGAGTCTGAAGTTGGACCCACTGATGAAAAGTAAGTTATGTCAATATTATGAACAATTCCTTTTCTTATACAAGTTAATTAAATACAAGTATTTGAAGCTAAATTTTTACTCTTGAAAGGGAAGAGCCTATACACACGGCGTATTTTATACGCGCCGCAGATG